CTCCTTGCAACATTGCACTTTTTTGCATCTGGGTCATTCCAGCGTACGGTTGCAGCGAGAGCTGGGATCTCCCAATCTCGTTTTTTCAGAAGTGCTGTCCGACGTTCTAAATGCCATGTCGCCCTGACGCCCTACCGGAGAACCCCGACACCCTGCGCCTGTGGAGCAACATGCCAATGCAGTCATCTTATCCACAGTCACTTCTTGTGAGCCATTTGGTATGTGCATTTTTCTACAGGCCGATACAAAACACCTGTTTTTTGTTTTGTTTTTTGTTTTTTCTTACTGCGGTGAAGTAGAAATTCAGCCACATACCACCTTAGGGAATAAAGGTTGCCAAAGTTTACATACATATATATATATATATATATATATATATATATATATATATATATATATATATATATATATATATATATATATATATATATATATATATATATATATATATATATATATATATAATATATATTTTGGAGGGGGTGGTGTCACTGTAAGATTAAAATTTCTTAATGCACTAGTTTGCACAAACTACAAACTACTTTGCCGCAAACCACAAAACGCGCAAAACCATCATTTAAATAGGGCGTCTCCAACAGTTTTGCACCTGCCACCAGTTACGCAATCGCTCTTGTTAAATCCCCCGCAAACCATGGTTCAGCCCCTCGTGCAAAATTCCACTTTGCGAGCGCAAATTACTGCACGCAAAATTGGATCTTGATAAATCCGGCCCAGAGTGTATAATTTCAATTCAATTCAATTTAGTTTATTTATATAGCGTCAAATTCACAGCACGTCATCTCAAGGCACTTTACAGTTCAACCAGATCATACAGTCAAATTGATACAAAGTTTTCTATCTAAGGAAAACCAGATGATTGCATTGACTCATTGACTCAAATACAATCCCTCACACTAAGCATGCTTGTAGCGACAGTGGAGAGGAAAAACTCCCTTATATACAAAACAAAATTTCGTTACATACAGCTTTTTAACAGTGTAATGCCTAATTAATGCCTAACCTTAAAAAAAAACAGAGACACATGACAAATGTCCATAGGCAGACCTAAGGACAATCTAGTAACTAATGTAACCAAAGTAAAATAGAAAACATGCATTTTTTTGAAATGCTGGATGAGGAACTTGGGAACAATCCACACTTTTAAGGCCATGCAGAAATGGCAGCACTGGGATTTGAAACCAGGACCTTCTTGCTGCAAGGCAACAATGCTGCAGGAACAACAGAAGCATGTCATTGTTGGGATTCAGTGCAGTTAGAGCTGTCTTGTGATAATAAACTGCACAAAAACTAACAACACAGACTACATTTTTGCTTAAAATAGATTCCTGTGATTATATGACTTACACTTGATGTAAACAATAACAACTTACGTCCCATATAAGATATGTAAACAAAGCAACAGACTAGGAGCATTTTTATTCTGCAGAAAAATAATAAATAAAATAATGCTTCATAATACAAAACATTTAAAAACTAAATCTGGGTATAACCGGGGTGCTATTGTGTTATGGAGGTAAAGCGCATGACCCAAATATCGGTTGCCTCAGGTTTGAGTCCAAGCCCTGCTGCCTCTATTCTAAGAAAAAGAAAATAAAGGCCACTACAGCCTAAGCATGATCTTTAGAACTGGGTATAATTAGCAAAGCAATTATTGTGCATTTTTACACATTTGGGAAGAGTGACTCACTAAGTTTACATCAATCTGCATTAATTGGACTTTTATGCTAAATAGTAGAATTCATTTGGACAGCAAACTGTGACAAATCGGAGCTGCAGATATTATGTAATAATCTAATGCAAATGCTTAGAAATAGTGGAGACTAGGAACAGTCGCAACATGTTTTACATTTGACTGTTACTCAAATACTTTAGACAAAAAAGTTCTTTAAATCTGAGTGGAGAAAATCTATTTTTCACAAATTGCATCTGAATTCAAAGAATCAGATGTTGCATTCCTTTGTGGATGTTTGCAACATGAGACAAATACAATATATTTTACTGTCCATAAATAGATTATGATGACATATTGTTAAGGATTTCTATTGAAAATATGTTACAATTAAAGTGTTATCGGCTTTGATCGGATACTAAACATCTCCAAGATTCAGTGACATGAGAAGAGTGGAACAAGTTTTTTTTTTTTTTTGTTATTTTCAACAGATGCATTCATTAATTGTGGAAAAATACAAGTGCAAATTTCATGATACGTTTAACTAGAAAACTGCAGATAAAACCCATTATCTATATGGATATGACAGCTATGCAGCTGAATCTAACCATATGATTTTTATAGCAATGGACCATTCAGTGTATTGTCCTCAGCCATGAACATACAGGCCTCCTACCAAAGTGATACTGCTGTTAACAAATGTTAAACTAGTTGATCATGGGTAACTAGGTAACATGGTAACCATATTAGCTAAAAGCAAATGCATCACTTGTTGTAGCTGAATCCCTAAAACAGTGACAATATAAAAAACAAACTTTCAGTCCCTAAAACCTTTTTTTTTTATCCTGAAGCAGTTATAAAATCTTCTTGCTTGTCCTCTAGAAGGAAGGGAGGCCTTCTAGAGGACACTTGTCCTCACTTGTTTTAGATGGAGAAAGATGGCATGTTGCAAACATCCGTGCTGAAGCTGTCCCTGTTCTCCCTACCATGGCATACAGCTTCAATCCAACCTCCTATGTAATGATCAATAAAGTTTATTGTTTTCATTGCCCAATTTTAATTGCTCCCCACAGTTCTTTGCAGATAAACTGAAATTTCCAAAGAGGAAGCAGTCTGAATTTTATAGACAGATGATAACGCTTCTATTATCAGTCAGAAGCTCTCCAGTCTGAGTGTCTCTCTTTGACTCTGGCACATGACACTGTGAACGCTCAGAGGCAAAAGAGATGGTGACTGAAAAGGAAAAGACTCGCATATGCATCAGTAGCTCTTCTCTGATTGTTCCGTCCCAAAATGCGCCATGCTTGTATAACCTCCAGTCATATGAGTGTGTGTGTGTGTGTGATGGACTCAGAAGCTGGACAAGCTCTCCTCCTATTTCTGTCTACAGAGGTCACAGAAAACGCTCCACTCTGCTGCCTGACAAGCATGAGTGTGCCTGTCCTGTCTGCTCTCCTCCCGCCCTGTCGGCTCTTAGATCATTGGTGTCAAAGACCGGCATTGTTTCTCTCATCAGCATGAAAATATTAACTCCACCACCATTCACACAGCCTAACAAAAGCATGTGTTCTGCCAGGGTGTCTGCTCTCTCATTAGCTTTGTTGTGGTCTGCTGAGATGCAGCAACTTTTAATAAAGATAAGTTAGTTCCAATGGATTGGAAGAAAATTAGATGAATGTGGTTTAAAAAAAACGCATGTTGGGAAGCTGCTGCAGAATGCTAATGATTTAAACAGTTTGCTCTGCTTAATATAAACTATTTTTGTTATACAAGTTGACTGAAAGAGGCTCAACATGTCTGGTTTTTAAAATCCCAGAGGTCGCCTGCGAGGAGCTGTAAGAATTTGTGGGTGATGAACTTCTTGACCTCTTGGTTGAAAAGGAATGTACCAGTATACATACTTACACTTATGCAACAGGTAACCTGCAAAACCGACATGATGCTTTCAGAGAGGCAAGTTCACTTAAAACATTTGGGGGTTTTTTTGGGGTGGGTTTTATTGTTGAAGAAATCTGGATTTCCAACAGCTGCCGAAACACCAGACAAAACACGTTAGATTATATTTACTCTGAGGCAAGGTTAAACGTAGAGTTTCTGTGGGAAAGTATATTCTGTTATCCTGAGGGAATGCTTCCTTGCAAATCAACAATCTGCCTAAACATGCAAAAAATGAGCTCATCAGTCATAAAACACATTCTGTGTGCCTGTGGGAAAAGATAACAGGTGCATCTCATTAAATTAGATTTAGTTGAGAAGTTTGGCTATTTAAATCAAGCAAGAAAACTAATTTTAGCTTAAATGCATACTGGGTGGTATATTTAAAGTGTTTAATGATTATTTCTATTAACTTGGATAATTAGGCAGAGCCTAAAGCTAATAGAGCGTTAACCATATTGGGAAATTTAAATGTGGAATAAAACCACCACTAAGTAATTTTACTACAGACATTTCAACCAAGTTTAAGTATAATAATTATATATAAACCTAAAACTAGGATTGGGTTTATTTTGCAAAAACTGCAGCCTGGCAGAGGTGATCAGTCTATAGCGATGCTGAGATATTAAGCAAGCCTAGGTTGCTTTATTTGCAACCTTCAGCTTGTCCTTGCTTCCATTGTTGGCTCTAGTGTTTCCTTTTTCTTGTTGATAACAATTTTTTTTTTGTTTCTTTTTAATGTTCCTAAAAGTAAGCATAAATACCCTTGGCAATGTTTGCAAGTGCCAAGTCCTGCTGGAATAAATCTGAATATCAATAAATCCTGTCAGCAAAAGGAAACATAAAGTGCTCTAGAATTTCCATGTTCTTGTGTTGATTTTTGATTTGAAAAAACTCAGTGGATCTGCAGCAGCAGATGACCAAGCCATCATTTGCTGTGAAACCTTAACCCGTGATGCTTCTGACGTCTGGCAAAATCACCCGATGTGAATCTCCTCTAAACTCCTGATTTGGGTATTCTTCACATTCCTCTCAGGATGTGGTGTTTCCATTCACCTGTTATTTTTTTTAACCACACTTTTTCCCAGCTTCTTTCAGTGACTTCCTGGATTACCCACTAAGTGGAATGCATCAGTGTCTGTGTTTGGGGAAACTGTCAAGTCACTTTCTATAATTGCATCACCACATATCCATAACTTACAGATTTTGGAATCAGAAACAGTCGGCTTTATGAAATCTTACACAAACTTGAGCCTTGATAATGAAAAATCTCAGATAATATGCAACAAATGTGTAACATTTATGGTTCCTCTGCTGCTCTAATTCATTAAGACGCATCTTAAGAAAATAATGTAGAGACACTTCAGTAACTCACCAGCTCATCCAAATTTCTCATGTCACATAAAACCCTCTTCTGTGGCCAGAGGTAGGGCTCTGGATCCGGTTCTTTTTCATCCTGCACACTTTGACAGCTCTCCCTGCTGCTGTAACACCTGCTGGGTGAGCTTTCCTCAGCTGGCTCTCCTCCATCCACCCTAAGGCTCTCCTCATCCCGGATCTCCTCTTCGATCTCCTCCTCCAGCTGGATCAGCATGGGGGCCAGCATGCCAAACTTGGACCCCCGCCGCGCCACCTCCAACAGACACAGGATGAAATTCTTCTCGTTGCATCTCTCCACCAGGTCGTTAGTCTCAAACATGAGGACATCCTTGATCCACAGCTCCTGCCTGCACCATGTAATGAAGTTGGACACATTATCCCGAGCCAGGAAGGAGCCGGGGATGACGTTTCTGGACTGGAACACCACATCTTTGGACGGGACCTTCATGGACCTGGCAGCCTCCGGGTACTCCGACTGGAATTCCTGCGCGGCGCGGTTCACGTTGTTGGCGTGCCGACACAGGGCGCAGCCCGTCCCTAAAGCATCCATGAAGTTATCCGCAGTGACATCCAGGTCATAGAGGGTCTTCAGCCATTCAGCCAGGTCCTCCTTCATGGCATACAGGTATTCTTCGCTGGATTTAAAAGGCCGGATGCTTTTAGAGGCGGCAGACTGAATGTTGCTCTGATCAGCCATATTGTCAGATCATGTATCAATAGTCTTATTTGATCATCCCCGACTGTCTCATTGCATAACGGCACTCAGAAGGTTCATCCGCAAAATCAAGCGCACAGACCGGGCGGACGCACCCATGCCGTGCGGTTCTGTAGTGGAGCTAACTGAAGCCAGGCTTTGTGTTGCCAGGAGCATATCTGGATGCGGGGCGGCCGTGGCGCATGGATGCGTTTTCCGGATGTGTGTGAAACCCGCTTCCTTTACAGAGCGCATCGCAAGGTTCCGAGGAGTGGGAAAATAAAAAATAAAAAAAAATGGATCAGACCTGCTTCGCTTAGGCTAATCCACCCCGATGACCTGCCGGACGCACATTTCCACGTGTCGCAATGTCTGTCTGAGGCCCGCCGGCTCCTGATCGGGAGAAATCACGACAACTGAGCAGCTCCCAGTCCTCAGCTCATTTCCCTGCAAATAGGCTCAGCCCATGGCGCACCGCCTCCTGCGCTCAATATGTTGACCTGCTGCAGCTTAAACCAGCAGAGCGACTCGGAGCCACATCCCATTATGAGGGATAAACGCTGGAAGAAGAAACTTAACCCTATACTAACCAAGTCAGCAGGAACAGAAAGTGGCTGCAGTGGATTTGCCTCTTTTTTCACATATACAGATCTAAAAAGTGGGGTTTGGAATTTTCCTCAGCCCCTTTTAATCTGGAACCCCAAAATAAAATCCTGATTACACCTAAATTAAGTAAACAGAGCATATTAATGTATTAATATGTATTAATGGAAGTATATTAATCAAGATTTAAATGCTGTTGTTCTGGGCAGCCCTCAGATGTTTTTATGCAGATCTTTCATAAACAAACTGCTACTTGAAGACAGCAATGTAGCAGAAAGGCCAAAGATTGTTGTGGATAAATCTAAAGAAATGGAAGCTAATAAAGCAACATCCAGAGATTTTACACATGTGATATTGCAGTTCTTCTCTTTTCCAAACATGGAAAAAGTAAGGGACAAATGTGCCAAATGTACAAGATTCATCAGACTGAAAGGAATGACTAAAAGAACAAAGAGAGTCCTTATTAGTCTGGAGAAAGTTCTGCCAATTGACTACTTTTCTCAATCCTCAAATCTGGCCATGGAAGAGTAAGAAAAATAGAAAGCAAAGCTGATCACGGTTAATCGTGGAGGACACCTCATTGCAAATGGGAAGCATTTTAAAATATGACATTTAGCAGGAGCAACAATGTTTGAAGTATATGCAGGAGCAAGAGTGGGCTATAGTCCATAAGAAACTAAAAAAATAAAAAAAAGCAATCCACTGGGATCAGTTTCCGAGTTAGAAGACGTTTCGCTTCCCATGAAGCTTTTTCAATCCAAAATGTCAGGAATAGTGTTAAGTTAAAGGTTTTATACAGTAGCCCAACAAAGCGTTGTTTTTGTTTTTAAAACATGCAAATTGGAACAGATGAAGGGGTTCACCCATTTGGAATGCGGGTCATAGAAACATGAAAACTGATGTCCACAGACACTCCTTCTCTGGGTTTGATTTATTTTCCAAAGAAAGGGTTACTAACGTAGTGTAAGGGTGGTCATAACCCCAAAAGACTTCCAGACCTAACTAGTTTCAAAGTATATCTTAATGGCCTTGCCCCTTCTTATCTGTCTGAGCTGTTGCATCCTTACACACCCTCCCGTTTCCTCAGGTCAGCTGATCAGTTGCTTCTGAGGGTCCCAAAGACAAAATGCAAGCTCAGAGGAGACCGTGCTTTTTCTGTGGCAGCTCCTAACCTGTGGAATGATCTGCCTCTGACCATAAGTTATAATTTGCGGCTTTTGTTTCTGATTGTTTTTGTACAGTAAAGCAGAGAAACAGTTGTGTATTGTTTCATTTTCCCCTCAGTAGTGTGCCACCTTACATTAGTATTAAAAGTATGAGAAGTTAGAGACACAACTCAGATTACTTCACTTTTTCTAATCACTGATTACAAGGTGGTCATGATGGAGGTGGGCTACTGACAACCTCATCCAGATTTTTTTTGGTTTGTTACAGATTAATTAGCCACTAAAATGTTACAATACCTCAGCCTGAAGAGACTGATGAGATATCTAATCCAATAATGAGGTTAACCAGCCTGGTAACAAAGTACAATATGAAGTCGGTAAAGATAAGAGCACATTATCTTCTGTCTGCATACGATTTTTGTTATTAATTTACAACAGGCTTGTTACAAATGTAACAAGGAGGTCCTTCTTCAGCTAATCAGTTAAATATTTGACAGTAATAGTAACCTAATGTACAGAAAGCTCAAATATAAAAGGCCACAGCTGTCTTACATGAAAACCTCTTTAGGCTTTTTGTTGTGTAAAAAATAGGATATAAAACAGCTAACAACATTGGTATTAATCAATAGGCACCAATTAACTGCAAAAACTTAGAATACTAAATTTGGTTTTATTTTCCCATAGTTACTAAACAAAGCAGATGCCCTTACATAATAATGTATTGCAGCTTTCCATTGGAAATATTTTTAATCAATTAATTTATATCATATGGGACAACTAACTTTCATGCTACAGACACACTGTTGTAATACACAATTTGACTTTGCTTGACTGAATATCTCAAAGGGATAACTAGAATAACAGCAAGTGATGCTCTAAGAACCTGATAACTTCTAGTACAAATAAGATTTTATAGTATTTATATAAAAATGTAATATCCTGAAAAACAGAAGTTGAGAAATAAAGAAGAAAGTAAAGGACAAATACAGTAAAGGACATAAGGTCACAAAAAAGATGGGTAAGACACAAGTAAAGGAATAAAGGAAGAAAGCAAAGAGGTGGGAACAGAAAACAAAAGGACAAATCAAAGAAGGTATAAGCAACACAAAGGTGGGTGAAGCTGAATAAATTACATAAATGAAGAGAAGGAAAGACACATTCAAAAAGCAGGCTTTTTTTATCGTCATTACACAGAGCAACCAAATTCACTCTTCCCATTTAACCCAACCCTTTGGGGAGAGGTGTGCTGCCATTGTGCAGCGCCCTGGGAGCAGTGTGGGGTTATGGGTCTTTGCTCAGGGAGCCAGAATGTTGTTCCGTGGGATTGGGGCTTGAACTCTGAACCTCTGGAATCCAAGCGAAATGCCCTAACCACTAGACCACCACCTCCCTTCCTGAGATAAAAGAAAGAAGGAAACTGGCGCAAAGAAAGAAGAAATGACAAGGAAGAAAGGAGCACAAGGACAGACGATTGGAATCAATTAAAATGGATAACACAGATGTTTTGTTTTTTTCCCTCCCATACTTTTGCAGACAAGGAAAACAGTCTTGCTTTCGTGCCATCTATAGTATTTAAGATCCTAATCAGTTTGAAGAAAAAAAAGCAAAACACACACTTAATTTAGAAGTAATCTTAAAGTGCTTAGAGGATTATATTTTTGCAATTCTGTTCTTTAGAGTGGGATATTTGCTTAGTTGGGCTACGGTGTACTTCGTATGCCTGAAAAACATTAAGGCCCTATATAGCTGCTTATTGTGCTGGAAAACATAGGTCATGTTACCGTATATAATACAGACAACAATGTTAAAAATGTACGTAATCATTTAAAACTAAATCCTTTAAAATTTGTTTTTAAACAAAACAATCTGTTCATTAACAAATCTCTTGGTTAAAGGTGAAAATAGAAGTTTTAAGTTAATGCTTGTCAATTTTATAATGTGTAGAAAGTTGGTTAGCATATCGGTCACTGGATACTTTTTGTTCTTACCATGGAATATCTTAATTACAATGGTTTTCATTCTAAAGATTGGTAGAAATACTAGATTTACTTGCTCAACATGAAATTGCAGGACTACCATTTTCTTATTTCTGCATTCTTTTGTTCTTAAATACTCTAACGTAAAATAAATGTTTACTCTTTGTATCATCTAGACAACCCACCCTCATCTAAGAGCCAACAATTCTGTACTTTAAAAGTTCAAAATGTTCCAGCTGCTGTTTTATTAGGTTTTGAAATCTTTGCCTGCTCCTGATTGGACAGCGTCTTCTGCACTCTTCAACTGTGCTGAACGTACAAGCACAGCCAATGCGAGGATGGAGAGCTTGTTTTCATTTAAAAAGAGGGATGCGTTTAAGAGGAAAACAAGGAGGGGGCAGCATAGAACAGAAAAAGTAGGTGGAGAGTGGATGAGATCATTTTCTGGGTCTGGATGAATCAGCTTTTCTGTCAAGGAGGAGCAGAGGGGTGACCAAAGCAAACGGGAAGAATTCCAAGACGTCAGCGAAGGTTGAGCCTCCTGCTCAGTGTGACGACTGAATGTTAAAAGGATTGAAGTTTATAGTGAACATAGAATGTTCATTGGCGCTTTTTTCTTTTTTAAGAATCAGTAAGAAGTTGAAACACTGGGGGGAAAAAATTTTTACAACCCATAAACTTTGATGTCCCATAAAGTTTGTCAGAATGCCTTTAGAACATGTCTGCGCTAACTTTTTCCAAATAAAACAATTCATTCTTTATGCTGTCAGCAAATATATTCAAACTTAAGTCATTATTTCTAGTATTTTCTCCTGTTAGTACTGCCAGTAGTTTTGTTTCACACCTCCTACTGGCAGGACAGGGAATTATGGCTTTTATATCCCTACAGCAAAAAAAGTGTCTGCTTCATATTCTTTTCAAACATCACAAAATAAATCAATATATAACCCAGTTTTCATTCTGGTAAATTGAGCATGTCAACAAAAAGGTGAAATTCACAAAATTTTATTTACCAAGTATATCATAGTACAACTGTAAGTTATGGGAAATGGGGGGCCGTTACATTGTCCAATGAAAAATATTGCATTTACGATACAATGGCAAACCTAATGTTCATATTTAAAAACAAAAACATGCACAATACAGAATGCAGTATAAACACTAACTAAAAAAAAAAGGAACTAAAACAAAAAAGGTAACCACAGAGTGGACAAACTGCACATTGTTGAATGAAAGCAGTTCTATAACCATCAAAATATGGAATCATAAATTAAAACTTCTTTTAAAAATCAAAATCCACTACAGGAAGAATCAAGAAGTTTTCCTTCAGTAAGGTCGGTCTCTACGCTCCTGGCGATGGTCCCTGGGAGAGAAAACGGGGGGAAAAAAATAGATGCAAGAATAAAACATCTTTACACATTCATTTTAATATTACAATAAGCTAAAGTATAGAAATAGTTATCACAATCCTACCTCATATCCATCTTGCCACCAGGTGGTCCCATTCCTCTTCCCCCTCTGCCACCCATTCGGTCCATGGGAGGTCCTCCACGCCCAGCTCCACGGAACCCTCCCCGGTCCATTCCTCCACGTCCTCTGAATCCACCACGGTCACCTCCCCAACCGCCACGGAATCCACCGGGTCCACCTGGCCCACCGACGCCTGCTGGTCCACCACGGTCCATACCTCTGCCCCCGCGCATTCCTGGTCCACCTCTGCCTCTGTCACCACCTGGAGGGAAAGGAGGACCACCGCCTAAGCCCTCAGGTTTGGGAGCTTTGCACTGGTTACACTCCATCCTCCAAGCAAAGTTTTGGTTACCACAACCCCTGGGAAAACATACAGATTTACAATTATAAAATGCACACATAAGGTAACAAAGTGTATATGAGATAGTAGCGGTACATACGGGTTAGGACACTCCCAGTCCCCAGCTCGTTGCTGCATGTTGCCTCCTGTTGGTCCACCTCTGCCCATTCCACGTGGGCCACCTCGTGGACCAAAACCTCCACGGTCCCCTCCTCGCCCCATCATACCTAACAGAAAAATTAGCGCAAAACACCAACCAATAATTAATGAAGCAGGAGTTAACCCTCCCCCCCACATACGACTCAAAACAAAAACCATGAGGATCCCAAAGGGAAATTAAATTAGATCACTGCTAATTCATATTTACCTCCGCGGCCCATCATGCCATCACGCATGGGCATGCCACCTCTCATTCCACCCATCATGGGCTTTCGGCGTGCCATGGACACCTTAAGCCTTCGGCCTTGAAACTCTTTTCCTGCAATTAAAACATTTAAGTCATCTCAATGATGAGTACATTTTAGAGTGGTTTTAATTGTTCTTATTGTATAAAGGATACCATCAAAATGCTCCACAGCTGCTTTGGCACAGATGGGCTCCTCATAAGACAGAGTGGCATCTCCTTTGGGCTTTCCAGAGTCCTTGTCTGTGTAGATGTTGATAGCAGGCTGACCCAGTCTGCGATTCATCTTCAAATGAAAAGAAATAAAGTTTAATTTCACCAAGAGTTGTGCTGAAAGATAAACCCCAACTCTGCAGACTGCAGAAACATACTTAAGATGTCTTAAAACAAAACTTTGATAAAAAAAAAAAAAAAAAAAAAAGCAGCTAGAAAATGATTCTTACCCTTATGGGGCCAACGTGCTTGAAGAACTCAGCCATTTCCTCTATGTTGGCTTTCTCAGTCAATCCGGTGATGTAAATGGTGCTGTTCTCAGAGTCATCCTGCTCCTCTGGCCGTCCTACAAATGAAATATGGATTAAAAACATTTTCTAATGAAGAGCCCAGTAAACATTTTTAAATTTGTACTTTCGTTTTCGTAAACATACTATCAAACACAATCAGATGCCTTTAGATGTGCGTTTGTCGTCAAAAGTATCATAATTGATAAAAAATAAAATAAATCACTCATCCTGGATAAGTAATTTATCTACTTTGCTCAGTTGCACTTGAACAATGCTCCTGTAGGCTACAGGACATTTAAGCACCAAAGTATCAAAATGATGTTTAAAATGCTACTTACCCATTTCGCGATCATCCCCGCCCATAGGTCCTGTAGTCCATCGAGTCAAAAGTAAAGAAACAGATGGAGAAAAAGTCAGTATGTGCAACTGATATTTGGCAGAAAACACCTGACAAATACTACAAATTGTAAACCAAACTCTCATACATGGTTCCTATTGGGAAGTTGAAAAATATATGGTACCTTCTGGTACAAAAAGTCCTCAATTGATAAATTGGATTGAAAAAAATTGAACACCTTAGACCCTTTGGCAAATAACTCTTTTGAAAAGCCTTTTAGACCAGAGTGAAATCCCAAAAAATAAAACCCACAGCAAACACTTTTCTTGTTAATCCATTTAAAAGATTTTCAAACCACAAGCAGTGACTGAATTAGACAACGTACCCCAGAGCAAATGGTCTCAGGCATAAGGTAAAAAAAAAAAAATCTAATATTTTGATGCCTTTTTTTAAATTTTGCATACCACATTGTATGTATCAATGTTTAACGCATATTTACCCAAAAAGTGTTACGGATTTGAAAGGACTAACCAGTGTAATACTCAGTAACTTACCACCAGGCTTACTGAAGCCACCTCTGTCTCCAGCGCTGCTATGGGGGAATAAATGGAGATATGAAGGCGTTTCCCTTTTACAGCCACTTCCATGGCTCGAGCAAAGTGGCTTGATCGGGGAGTAATCAAAACATTCTAACTAGCTGAAGAGCAACTTTAACTCCCCACAAATCTAACTATAAAAACACAATTCATCAACAGAATAACCATGTGTCACTCCTTATTAGCTTAGCACAACATCTAATGACAAAGAGTGGATACATTTGCGAAAAAATAAACATGAAACATTTTTGCTGGCTTTTAAAATGTGATAAATCCTAAAACAGATGAATACAGGCATAGGCATTTCAGATGCATTGACGGCACACATACGGTACCATCACATATATATTTTTTAAGTCACAATTGAATTGCCTTTACAGTAAAAAAAAAAAAAAAAAAAAAAAAAAAAAAACAATGCACCTGAAATTTCACATGAGAAAATGTCACTACATTTACCAAAATAAAAATTACATTTTTTTTTAAGAGCAAGAAAATAAATACAATATCAACCAAGGATCTTAATTTTAAATCAAAACAAGTGAATTGATTTTATTTTTATCTATACACCCATCATGCTTGGGGGGTAAAAAAAGAAAACAAACACCATCCTCAGTTCTTGATAAAAGGCAGACTTCGAATCTTTGTTTAAGCTCCTTCCTGCTGCTTAAGCTGGAGACTCTGTACAGAGTTCAGAAACTTTTTAGAGAAAAGATGGTTATAAATGGCTCTCACTGTTACCTGTGCGGTATAAATGTGACAAAGCATGTTAAAAAAGCGCTCAAAATAAATCACATTTGTATTCCAAACATTTCAAAAATACAGCATCCCAAGTCCCCCCCAGCCCCCCACCCCAGAACACAAACACCTGTGCAAAACTAAACTGAGATTAAATCCTAATCTCACTATAAACCCCTACAAAAAACTATTTTATGAATGTAACTTATGTGCTGTGATGTCTTATGAGTGAAGCGCACCTACAAATTTGTTTAAAAACAAAATCTCAACTACAGTCCATAGAGGTATAGGTTTTGACTGACCTACTGGAGAGCTGAGTTGTATCTTATTTGAAAATCCTGTTAAACAAATGCTGGAAAACCAAACCAACCACCAATATGAAAAAGAACATTCTATTATGGGAATGCTAAAAGACTTGATTAATAAAAAAGGTAAAAAACCAAACCAGAATGGAATGCCTGCATACTTGTGCAGTTCCTTCTAACTCAACTGCAGCCTTTTTAATGAGGAGCATATTAAATTTACCCAGCTGTGTGGATTGGGTTTTTTAAAAAACAAAACGGGGAAAAATGTTGTAATTCACCAAGTAGTAGAAACGTGTGCCGAACAATATTCAGGCAAACAAGCGACGGTCATGCTGACATAGGGCAACAAAAACAACTGAAACCTGTCCAGACCAAAAATATCATGCTAAACGTGCACATGTGTTACTCAAAGTATAATCCTGCCCCAATTTATCCACATCAATAATCTGATGAAAATGGATATTTGGTGTGGCTTTTCAGATCATTATTTTTTAAATCATTAAATTCAAAGTCTATTTTTTTAAAGAAACAATACCAATTTTAGTGGGTTTACAGCCTGCAAAGATATCCCCTTTACCATTTTGAACATTCAGTTCTTTTATAAGCCAGTGAATATTTATGCATTTCATTGCAAACGGTAGCTCTACTTAGCATATTAAAACCCATTTATAAAAAGGGCAGATGTAGGAACCACATTCAGTCCCGAACCATGAGATTAAGCAGTGGATGAAGCTGAGGAATCAATGGAAAAATAACTAAAATAGAAGATATATTGATTGCATTGGTTCCCAAGTCTGGCTTTGATGTCTCACATTTTTAAGAATGACTTTTTTTTAACTCTTCATTTTATATGCTAAGAATAATAAAGATATCAATGTTTGGTCAGGTTAACACTAAATGAAATCAGGTCATTAATCCCCTTTTCCAGGTTTTCCAGGTCTTTAAGTCTATTCTTATGGGCTTATTAAGACAAAGCATGCCATCTCCATCGTTATGTGGATCAGCTTAATATTAATTGGCATAACAGGAAACAAACCCATGTGATGTTGCTGACCAGCTTTGGGCAGTTTGTCTTTGGTGGTTATTTCTTAGAGGCTCTCTTGCTGACACTTTTATGGCTTCTCAGATTTAAAGTGGGACTCTGGCCAGGCCATTTAAAAACCTTTAAATACACCAGTCAGGAAAGAAAAGCTCAGATATGTTGATAATTTAAAAATTACTTAATTTTTTATTTTTATTTTTATCAGTCACTTATGTGAAAATTTCAGTTCCTGGTCATGTTTCAGACAGCTTCTACCTGGATGCCTGAACACTGACAAACACAACCCTCTATCTTATTTAGTCATGAAATACTTTGGACCCACCTTAGAAACTCTGGATAAGACCTCAAATTATTATTATTATTATTTATTTTATTTTTTTTTTCCATCGGTACCAACTCTAGTCACCTCCTTTAGGAGTAGAAAAACATGAGCACAGAGTATCACAGAAATACTGGCAGGGTAATCGTAAGCTGGTCCAATCACCCATGTGTGACAAGGCAACAATGGAGGACCTTCTGCACAGTTAATAGGTTTTAGACAGACTCAAGATAAAAAAAAAAAATGTGAAGACAAGCACTCTGTATAAGTAACCCGGAGAGATGGAACAATGGAACGGTATCAAACTGAAAGATATCAAGCAGGCAATAGATGCAAGTCAGCACTACCCAATGTTAGCTTGCTATAGTTGTAATCAACGCATTTTGGTTATATTAATTATATCTATGCATGTGCAACCAGTGACTCCAATGACCCACTTAAATCAGTGACCAGTTTTTTTTACTTTGCATATTAAACCCAGTTTGGTATGGTCGAAACCACATTACAACAGCAGTTTCACTAAACAGTTACCAATGGGAAATCTAGGTGAGTGGTACACAAACATGATTTGTTGGTACTAATGGAAAAGAGCTAAAGCAGTACTTTACCTAGGGGGATCCAGATATCAACCTGAATCAGTTTGTTTTTTTCAGGAAAACGTCAACTGTAGACCAATATGAACATGACCCATTTTCTAGAGGCAACAGCATAAATGTTTTAATCAAAATTGTTTGTGGGATATTTGATCAGTTTTGGTAAATAAATAAATAAAAACCTCAGCTGCAGCAAAGGGGAGGCTTTTATCAGTCATGGTATGCAAACTTTGGAACAAGCTGCCTTTAACAAAGAAGGCATCTTCATCTCGTTCTTGAAAACATTGCTTCCCAGTGGCTTTAGGGACCGCCCATTCTTTTTCCCCCACCAGTTTTCCCCTGTTCTATTTTATCTGCCAACCATTTTTTAGTTTATGTAGTCCTCGTAAGTTTTTCCACCTTCTATAATTCTATAGAACTTCTACTTGTTTTTAAATATGGTTTTAAAAAATGAATTTGCAGTAATGTTGGTGATGATACTTGAAACAGACCTCTTAAAATACTCATGAGTGGGTAAAATAATTGCCTCAATAGCATTAAACTGTACCAAATGCCCAAGATCCAGGACAGGCCTGCTTTTAAGAAGGTACCAAAAACACTGCACAGAACAATGGAGACTTCTTACTATTAGCAGCCATTTCCAAAATTCATTCAGCACCGTCTTAAATTTAACCAAAATAATAAACCTTATTTCTATTTGCATAATTTTGATTCCTATAAATATGTGTGTAAAGTATTTCTAATAAAATCTCAAACATAAATTTTGTAATAAAAAAAAGCTCCCACTCCTTGTAGAAACCAAACTCTCCAACTCCCAACTATCAGTCATAGTCTTTGGATACCAACTGATTAACCTGAAGCTTAAGCACAGGCCGCTCTAAATACAAATGCATTGTATTAAAAAATATATATATTTAACTTACCTTTAGCCTAATAGGTTAGAGCTGAGAGATACTTCAATAAAATGGCTATGACTCTTTTTACAGCTGAATACCATTGGCTTTGAGAAAACAATCATGCAATTTAAACCTTTGATCTTTATGGTATAAAATCTTTAATTACTAACCACAACATAACTTCAGGAAGCAAATTGGCAAAGCGCCTTGGGTCCTGGTTGAAAAGAGACTTATCCATCTCCAATCGTTGAAGGCAACCATTGAGCAATTTTGAGAGAAATTTTGGAATCATCTTTACAGCAACTCCTATGGTAGGTTGGATTATAAAGGGAATTCAAATGGGCAACTGTTGTAGGAATGAAGTTGGAGACTCTAGGAAAATAATCCAGCCATTTCACCAAAGAATGCCTCAGCACTGCCCAAAATGGCAACAGCACCTATGATCTAAATGAAAATGGGATTACATGTTAAGGAAACAGACTTACCCCATTCCACGACCCATGCCTCTGCCACGATGCATCATTCCTCCACGGTCAAAGCCATCCCTTCCCCTGTTGTCTCCACCTCCAGGGTACCTTCCAGGCTCTGCACCTGGATAGCCAGAACCTCCCCCTTGACCATCCTGTCTGTAATTATCTACCAAAGAGCAACATGACAGAATTAATGCCGATAGCCCCAAATGTTTGCAGCCATATTAAAGATTTTCATTGTGCTCAATTCCTTCATTTTCTCGAATGAATGCGACTTCTCACTAGAAGTAGGACTGGGCAATATGGAACAATGATAATATCACTATTTTGAAGATAAATGGAGATATACAATATCTCTGTACATTTTACTTTTCAGAAATTAATCATAACGCCTCAGAGTCAAAGCATCATAAATCTCAAACAACCACTCACTGTATGGGCCAGACTGGTTGTAACCGGGTGGTCCACCTTGCTGGTTGTATTGATTAGCTGCTGGTTGGCCGTAAGAACCAGCACCCTGAGGAGGGTAAGCTGGAGGAGCTTGTTGCTGCTGTGGTGTCTGCTGTTGGTAGCCCTGTTGCTGGTTGTAGCCGGCCTGCTGACCCTGGTATCCAGGCTGCTGCTGTCCATAAGACGTTGCTTGGGAGTAGGAGCTTTGATTGTAGCCAGCAGCTGGTTGACTGTTAGCACTGCAATTAGAAAAAGTCAATAAACAAAGAACTACAAAAAAACAAAAAAAAACAACAGCATAGAAACGGTTGTTTACAGAGTTTTTATGCTGTTAAAACAGAATTTGTACCTTTGAGGTGCAGAAGGTGCAGCCTGTTGACCATACCCAGGGTAGGCAGATTGGGCAGTGTACCCTGGTTGAGAGCCATAAGATTGAGAGGCAGCAGGAGCAGCGGCCGCAGCAGCAGCTGGGGTGCTTTCATAACTACTGGCCCCATAACCCTGGGCTGACTGTGTATAGCCATGAGCAGTGGACTGGGCAGGTGGATATCCAGCTGGAAACAGAAAAAAAAATGCCTTTAGAAACCTGGACTTAGAATGATGTCAGTATACATGTTCGAAAAAAAATCTTTAAGTATCTAGAAAACTTAAAAAAAATAAAATAAAATAAAAATCACCTGCTGGCTGCTGGCCATATGTTGATCCATATTGTGTTTGCTGTTGAGGATATGCTCCGGCAGCAGGGGTGGTCTGAGTATAACTGCTATCAGCAGCAGCTGCAGCAGGTTGGGTGTATGAGCCATAATTCTGCTGGCCATAGCCTTGCTGTAAGTGACATGACAGAATCAACATTGTTGAACTGCTAAGAATTTCAGTAGAATTTCTGAATGACTATCAACCAACAATGGTGTCAACTATTCATTTTAGTCTTACCTGAGCTGACTGGCCATAAGTCTGTGATGGCTGAGCAGCATAGGAAGCATACCTGCAGGAAAGAGAAGTAAAGACTTTAGTTTTTTTAATCCCCAAATCTAGTGACTCATCTTACTTCTGGATTGTAAAGAAACCCAGAGTGAATCCAAGTGGGTTACTTCTCATGCTTATGCTGCGTTCACACCGGGGGCAGCTGGCGCGACAGAAGCAGCGAGTTTACATGCAAAGTCAATGGTTGACGCGCGTCAAGGCGCAGCAAAAGGTCCTGCGGCGCGTTTCGAGCAGCAAGCGCAGCGCGTCTGAGCAGCTGAAGCAGCGCGTCGGGCGCGTTTTGGCATCTGACGCGCGTGACGCGCCGCAAACGCGTTGCTGCTCGAGATGGAAAATTTGAATTTTTGCTGCTCGACGCGCCGCGTCAACCAATCAGAGAAGCTGATCTGGGAGCTGGCTGGGAGAGAGACACAGCGCTGATGACACAGACCGCTCTGATTACTCCTCTTAAACAGTTTATTAACGCATAATTAACTTAAAATATATACATCTGCCGGCAGAATATGTTCGCTTTTATTATTGTGGTGCCTGCAGATCGGATTATTTAGATGAAAAACACCTACCAGCCGCCGCGGTAAACCGCGAGGAGGCGACCCGCCAGAGGCTGCTGATGAATGGATTCCTTCTGTCGGCGCACCGCCGGTATGTGGGGGTCTGAGCGGCTCCGACAGAAATAATATTGGGAGGCAGGATCGTAATCTGGATGAACTGACTGCACTGATGAAGTTTTCAGGTGTATTTTCTCACTTAAAAACATATTAAAACTACTTTATTCCCACTGATCACAGCAAATATAGCTGCAAGGCAGAGAAAGGATAGTGAAGCTCCGCCCAACGCGCGTCAGAGCCACTTTTGGACCGCGCAGGCAGAGCAGCAAAGCTGCTTCAGCCGCGCGTCAGAACTAACTGGTACAAGCAGCAGAAATGAAGCAGCAGACGCGATTTTGCTGCTTTTGCTGCCCCCGGTGTGAACGCAGCATTAGAGTTAATTTGCAAGCATACAAGACTCATGTTTTCAATACAGCAAATTCTGATTATGTATGAGCTTTTGCTCCAATAAATCATAATTACCAGCTCCTTTGTGAATAATTCTATATACTGACAATTCATTATGCTTCTGGGCAACAATATTACTTTGGGTTGGTGCCCATTAATTTATAAATTATATATAACAAATTAATACATTATTTTTTTATACTCTTCAGTGTATAAGTCCTTATTGTGTGACCACTTCTGCAGCCTTTTGCTGCTGTAACATCACATTTACCCCATTGTGGGATAATTAAGGGATTTTCAATACCATTATCAATGAGTATAACTCACGTTTAATATTTCGAGCTAATCATCTAGATCAGGGGTGCTCAAGTCCAGTCCTATAGAGCTACCATCTAACTTTTAGATGCATCTCTTCTGTAGCACATCTGAATCTAAAGCCTCAATCCCTTCATTTAGCCCAGCATAGTTGTGGTGACGATCCACTCATTTGATTCAAGTGTGTTAAAAATTGTTGCATCAAAAAGTTACAGGATAGTAGCTCTTAAGGGCTGGACTTCAGCACCCCTGATCTAGATACAAATCGTCCAAATTGAAGACATGCATTAGCGTTCAGATGCTCGAAAGAAAAATGTATTACGCATCAACGCCTGCAATTTATTAAACACCGGAATCCCTATGCATACATTCAAAGAAACCATATTGGTCAACTTTACTGGACCTTTAAAAAAAAAAGACACGAAAGTCTTATTAGTCTCTTGAACCAAACGTCAATAAACATATTTCAACGTTAATATCAAGTGGACTTCAAAATCTTACCCCTGCTGGGCACCACTCTGGTTGTAGGAGCTGTAATCTGTGAATAGAAAGGATAAATAAATCAGAAAGATTTAAAAAAAAACAAAAAAAAAAAACAGGATTTGCGCGCGCGAGCCACTCACTCCTTTTTCTACAGGCCTGTTGTTAGGCCTTCACTGGAAATATGCTAACTGACGAGCTAACGAAACCTTGCATGAACGACCCCTCAATGAACCAAAGGATCGAAATGTACTAACGCAGTTTACACGAGCATATTAATATAGCTTAGTTTAACTGTATTTTTATTAAATAAAAATGTCAACTTGATAACAAATCCTAATGCCTCGAGAAGCAAACATTAGGCCTTCCACGCAGCGTGGTACACGCTCATTGTAAAGCAACATTGACCAAAAACTAAATGAAACGATTGTATGACTTAAACATTTACACGTACGATAACTTGATAAACCTGATACTTTAATCTAATTATGACAAAATACGAAAGCCGTATTTCTTTTTTTTCACTCACCGGGTGCAGACGCCATTTTGAGCGAGTCTGTGGGAACCGACAAGATGCTGCTGACTGAAGAAGGGGAGGTAACCTCACGCCAAAGAAACCACGATGTCCCGCGATATCAAGGTAAACGTGACGCAATAATCTTCCTCAATTTTAAATGTATTTTATTTTATTTTTTTGTGGGGGCCACTGGGGAGGGGGAAAAAGTTATCTGATTTTTAATGTTTATTTAAGTCTAATATGGGAAAAAAGTCTGACTTTAATTTCAGAATTCTGACTTTTTTTTAAACTTTGTTATTTTCACAGCACCCTCATCCACCATCCTTTTGTTTGTTTATTGCTTGCACCTCTTGTTATCAAATAAATTATAATTTAATAAGAACATACCGGAATTTTAAAGGACGTGTGGGAATAGAAATATATATACCAGAGTTTAAAATACACATTTCTACAAGAAAATCAGATCAAGTATCTATTTTCACAGCAGAAATGTTGGCAGTTATATTAACCTTACAATGGGTAGAGGAGGTTAGACCAGACAGGGTGCTGGTATGAATAGATACAAAAGCAATTTTAGAAAGTATTCAGGGAGAAGGAAATAAGAAAATAGTATAATAAAATAATAATAAAATAGAAATAGTAAAAGGCAATGAAAAAGCATTAATATATATATATATATATATATATATATATATATATATATATATATATATATATATATATATATATATATATATATATATATATATATATATATATATATATATATATATATATATATATATATATAAAACTGTAACTGGAGCATGTAACAAAAGTCATATCCCTCTGGGATTATTAAAGTATTTCTGATTCTGAAATAGAAATATTAATGCCAGAAACCATAAGGAAAGAAGTAATAATTATGAGATTAAGAGTGGGTCATACCTATTTAAATGAAATTTTATATTTAATAGGGAGGGAAAATAATGATAAACGTGAAGGATGTGGAGAAAAAAAGACTGTAGAACACGTACTGTTAAACTTTAAAATGTATGAATATGAAAGGGAGAAATTGAGAAGAATAGTTGGAAGGACACACTGAGAATCTCAAAGCAATATTGGGAAATGAAGAAAATATAAATGATATTTACAGATTAAGGAAAGCATTATTTATTTATCTTCAGAATACAAACAAAAAAAACAGAATTTGATAGATGTAAAGTAATGTTGTTAAACATTCATGTACAGTAGGTGGCGGTATGCTTGCGATCAGCCACAATAGGAAAGAAGAAGAAGAAGAAGAAGAATCGTCAATACAGCGAAGAAGAAAAAGAACGTGTTTACGGAAGTTTATGTGCACCAGAATTTCTTTACATTTACATACTAACAGTTTGCATATTTGTCTTATTTTCTACTCATGTCACATTTTTTATTTAATAATGTTTCATTAATAGGCTCTAATTAATGATTTCCCATATTGATTATAAATCGAAGAAATCCCAGTCATAGCTAGCTTTTTCCTTTTGTTGATAGAATCATCCATATGTGTGATTATAATGTAGATACAATTACTTTAGATATCGGCATTCTAATGTATGGTAAAAAAAATATGGTCATACACATCTTAGCCTTTTATCAGATATGCATCTCCTTTGATGAGCGTCATCAAATGTTGGTTTATCATGGAGTTAAATGGAGAAGCTGCAGCTGAGGTGAAATGATGCAACGACGTTTCCTGTCATTAAGGTCCTTGTTTGGGCCAGATCACTCTGGATTTTGCCTTGTAACATTCACTCTGATCACGCTGATGGTGTTGATCTATGTTGGGGGCATCCAGGCAAGTCTGAGCGTCGGTCCAGGAGGATACTTCCCAAGGTTCAGAGGTATTTATGCTTTTAGATTCAATTCTATTTCAGAAATCTGCCTTAAAAAGATAGGAACTAATCATGTGATGTAAACTGTTTTTTTTCCCTTCCTCAGATGTGTTCCTATATGCTCTTAGTCACGATGATCAGCCCTCCTTGCTGATCAGCCTTGTTCTTCTGCTGCTGCTGGGATCATGTCAGGAGCGGCGCTGGGGATCAGTGGCCTTCCTTCTCCTCTCCATCCTCACAATGGCTTTGCTGTCATTTATTTACACTTTGATGCTGTTTGTGGGAGGAGGTGAGGCGAGTCGGATCTGTGGCTACTCTGCCATCCAGCTCGCTCTGTTTACAGCTCAGTGTCGACAAGCCACAAAAAGGAGGCTGCTGAGGTGTTTACCAGTCTGGCTCCTGCCATGGCTTTTTCTGCTGGGTGGTTTGCTGCTGCTGCCAGGAACACCGGCCTTGCTTCACCTCTGTGCTATATGCATTGGACACAACTGTATCCTTTCCTGCATATATGATCTGTCAGAATAACACTGCATCTTGACAGATTCATGCAACACAATTTTAACTTCATATGGAGCAATTTTTTATAAAAGTCACCTTGTATTTTTTTTAGATTTCATGACACACTGTGATACATTTTATAATATCACTTGTAATCTATAAAATATTTTATTCCTTTGATCTAGTTTTATTATCCCATAACACAGGATGAACGGTTGCCATTAAAACGGTTGTTTTAATTATTGTTTCTTTGGTACAAATATAATCTAATTAAGCATCTAAAATAAACTTTTTGGGGGTTTTCTAAATTCTTGGTTGTAACCATTCTTTATTTTGGCCAATATTGAAAACATTATATTAGTTGATTTTTTTTTTTTTCTGTATGTTTGGCTTCTATTTTTTGATATCTTTGGGGGTGGGTTCTAGCTCTTTTGGTATACAGGTTGTATTTTGGGGATAATTTGAAGACCCTGAGCCTAAAACATACCCTTTAATCTTTCTGTGTCCAGTGGTTTTGTCTTTTGTTTAAGCTGAAAATGCCACTTGAATGCATTTATTGAAACTTTGGTGACCGTTTCTCTGTCATGTTATCTCATCTCCTTAAATGTAACCTTCAGATCAGCAGCCCTTTATTGGGGCCTTACAGGAACTGGAAGAGATCAGTATTTTTTATTTCATTCCTAGTTGGATGTACGTTCCTACTTCAACCCGGTTCAGACTGCCAACGTTTGCAACCTCCCAGAGGTATTGTAAATCAATTACATTAACTGTCCGACCATCACTCTAAATGTATCTTCGATCACTCTTAGATTTTATTTCAGTACATGCACAAGCTGGTTTATTGTAGTGGGATTTTATGTGGTAGACTAATATAAACTAGTGCATAACTGAAGTAAAAAGAAAATGGTGCCTATCTAATTCTCTTTTCAACGTATTACAGAGATTTAAATATTTGCTTATTTTCTTTTTCAACAATCTCAGCCAGACTTGATGGATCATTTCTGTGAACATAATTTTTCTAAACTACATGCCTTAATGTTTAGCTCTTGCTGAGTGTTTAAGAGTGTTCTTCTGGTGGCAAATTGCTGCCACTATATTGTTTCAAACTAGGGATGGTTGACTCAGGAATCTGTGCAAAGTTCATTTTCTGTATTTTTACCATGTCTTCTAAATAGCTTTTATCAACCTGCAAATGAAACTTCTTTTGGCTTTCTTACAACCACCTAATTTTATGTCCACTTTCTTTAAGACCACATGGTGCATCTCTGCAGCTCTTTCAGAGTTACGACGGACCTCTTCATTGCTCCTCTGATTAATGCACTACTTATCCATACAATCTGTTTATTTTGCCAGCTATGCACTTGTAGGTCAGCAGTTACGGACTGCTGTTTCCACTATCTAATGACGGATTTAACTGCTCTGAGATATTCAAAGCTTGAAATACTGTTTCATCCAACTCGTTGCAGTAAACCTTTCAGTAACTTCAAATGAAAAACAAAAGAAAATATAATTTCCTGCTACTTTACTTCTAAACTGTATTTAATGATGGTTTATTAAAGATCTCATTAGAATATATAGAGACTGGCCATGTGAGTACATTTGAAAATATGTAAAAGTCACCCAAAACTAAATGTAACTATTTGTCAACAATTGTTTTTTGCGCTTAGATACCTTCCCCAGTTCATGGCTGAAAATCATGCAGCTCCTCCACCTGTGAGGGGTCCCACAGTTCACAGCCCCCACCCATGGATGGAGCCATCACCTGCCTGGGTGATGGAGGCGCGGTCTGCTGCTGTGTCTGAGACAGAAGTGCTGGAGGAACAGATGCTACGAGCAGGGATACTGGCCTCCTTACAGGACGCTCCTGAAGAAGGGCCTGACGCTAAAGTAGAGGTCCAAAAGTCATCAGTGTCTTCACTGCGGTTAGTGAAATGTGTGCTATGTGTATTTAGTAAACTAAAAAGAAAGATGTTAACTTAATACTTTTAAAATAGTAAAGTTTGCATTTTTAGTAGCCCTTAACATGCAGTCACCTGTTTCTGTTTCCTCTCAGGCTACAGCAGCTGGAGAAGATGGGATTTCCCACAGAGAAAGCTGTGGTTGCATTAGCAGCAACCAAGGAGCTAGATGGCGCCATTTCTCTACTTATTGAGGATAGTATTGGAGAACAAGCAGTGGTGGTATCTAAGGGAAAGAGCCATCCACCACAGCAGAGCATCTAAACAAGCTTCTCTTTTTTAGGAATCGCTCTGTTACGGATTTTTCACTTTTGATTTAAACTGGACATACGCCATGCTTGGGCTTTTCTGAGCTGCATGAAGAACTTATAATAAAAAAATAGCCTAAAACACTGGAAAAAAGCGGAGATGTTCCAGAATTGTATGCTTTGTTGTTCCATATCAGCAGAGACAATATAAATGTGTGTGTGGGGTGTGTGTGTGTGTGTGTGTGTGTGTTGGAAGGGGTTAAAAACAAGTTTAATTATAACGTTTGTGCCATGAATTCAAACAGGTCACATGTTAAAATAGTAATAATAAAAAAAAAAAACATTTATTACACTTAGCATCTTAGCAGGATTACCTTAACACAGTAACACATTTGCAAAGACAGAAGAAAAAAAAAATCAAAATACAAAATGGTTACACAAAAGCTAACAACATAAACTACATTTTTAAATAGTTTCACAATAACTTTAAGATGAAAAAAAAAATGTATTTAATTTTTTTTTTCATCAGAGCAGTTTTAGCAGTTATACAACACAACAGTGTTCAAGTTTGAATAACTGGATCTGCAAAACGTGTTTTCATTTCAGCACGTTTAGTTTCAGACTGCAGCACCATGTAACACAGACGCCAATGTTTGTGCAGATTTTATGTCAAATCAGTCACGAAACATTTCAGGGGACAAAAAAAAAAGCAAGAAACTACAAATCACTAATTAAAAACACATTGAATAGAGATGACTTCATCTGTTTAGTGCACTACATAACACTGAGTTAAACAATAAGATGAAAGTTTAGAAAACGACTACTAGAGGAGAAGGGAGGTTTATAATTCTGTAATGAAGACTGTACAAGTCATAGTTCTTAAATAATTAACCCCCTTCAGTTTGCAAACATATTATGAAAGCAGAAGAATTATTTCCGCTTTTCATTTCTTCAAATTGACCCCTGTTGTCTGGAACAGTTTGTCTCCCTACCATGATGACCTAGAATGAAGATGTAACTGATTAAGCATTGTTACCGACGCATTGTCTTTAGCTCTATACTGTAGCTAAAAAAAAGAATGAAACACACAAGATTCAGTATGAGAGGGAAATCAAATCAGTTCTCAGGTTGCTGATGTAGCAGGGTGTCATGAAGCTTCAGTTGAGTTTCCCTGAGGTGTCCTCCGTTTTTATCCATGTGATAAAAGCCCAGACTGGCCACTGGATAAGGTCTGTATGAGCTGAATACTGGTGATAGACCTGTTGGAGGGGAAGGCCCAGTCTGTGATCCTCAGGGTTGGTGTGAAGGATAGGGGAGCTACTTCCCTCGGGCGTTGGTGTCAGGAAACAGAGGAGAAGCAAGTCGATGTGGATGTGCACCTGCTCGCTTATCTCTGTAGAAACTAGGAGAAGATGTGCCGAACGGTTCGTCCCCAGACCCTAGATCAGGTTCTGTTGAAGAAAGACAACAGTTGGAAAAGAGGCCTCCCTCTCCATCAACACCTGAGGACTTTTGGCCTTTTTAGTTTATTTTTATTTAAGAAAAGCAAACTTAAGACTTTTCTGTTTAGTTTGGCTGTTGCCCGACATTGATACAGAATTAATTGTAACATGATTTTTGTTTATATTTTTATATCATATTTTTGTATTTAAACTATATGTAAGCTTTTAATTATAGCGTAGTTACACTTTCTCTTTCTATATTTAATTAATTTATTATTTACAAAAATGGCTGCCTCTAACATTACTTTCTCTCACTGAGTTTTCCTGTTTGGCACAGCAAAATAATTAAGAATTACTGGATCCAATCACTTCATCTGCTCTTTTAGAGGATATATTTTATCCACTATTGCCCCCAATAAATTTACCCTTTTTTAATCCGAAAGATTGTATGACTGGTCCCAGAATTTATCTGTTTATGGCAAGAAACAAAAAAAACAAAAAAAGTAGATAATTAAAAGTGCATTTTCCCCTCCTTTTTATAAAATAGAACATACTACTGAACAGCTGCCTCTATTCTTTTGTGTGTCTGCTAAGTCATTTTAAAAACCACAGCAGGTTGCAGCAGTTAGGTGCCCGTAATAATAAAACTTGAAAAAAAAATGTTTTCTTCCATTTTAAACTGAGTTGTTCATTTCTACTGTTGCCACATACCTGATAACATTTCTGTTTTCAGGCAGCATGTTTTTCAGAAAATCAATATAAAATATTTAGGTGCCAGTTTTGACAGCTCTCTTTCCCCTGAATAGCATTCTATAAATTGAATATTTGAAAGTAGAGATTGTCAAAGTGTCTTAAAATGAACCTTTGTCTCTCGCTCATTTAGACTAATGTAATTTTCCTTTTATTTGCCTTTGCAAATCAGCTTTAGATAGCCTTCAGAGTGTACAGAACAAGACCTTTAATGTAGATCAACAGTAGAGAACATGTTAATGCACTGACTCCCGGTACATTATAGCAGACATTTAAAATTTTGGTCTGAACTTTTAGGGCACATCATGGCCAACTGTTTAATTCAGATATAAATGGAGTCCTACTGTTTCTCTAGGACTTTCAGATCATCAAACCGTAGCGTTTTCAGGCAATGGACCAGAGACTCTGTCTTTTCTTTCCCACTGTCCATGCACTGCATGAACTTCAGAAAGCAATTAAAGATATTTTTATGTTGACAGTCTTTAAGGAGATTTCCACATCTACTTCTAAATATATTATTGATCTTGTGCTTTGTTTTGTATTGTGAAGGACCTTATTAATAAAAAGTATGATATATATATATATATATAAATATATATTATCTAACCTCTAGTCTTAAGACCAAATGCAAAGCTTTTGGATTTTACAGTCATTCCCATTGGGTTGAAATGGTATCCTTTTTTAAAAAATATGCAAACAAAGACTTATCTACAGATTAACGTCCTTTTCTGAGGTTGTTCTTTTCTCTGCATTAACAATTAAAATTTAAAACTTTATGCTATTCTGTGCAGGAGCAACATTCAGGCTCACTGTCCTTAAATACCATTCTTTACAACATACTTATAAATGAATAGCAGAATTGTGTCAAAATAGTAGTTTTGCTGGATTTATTGTATCTTTTTTGAAAAGAATAAAGAATATCAAAAAAAAAAAAAATGAAAAGAACACAATAGCCTTTAAACTGTCGTGTTTCTGGAAATCACAAACAAAGCAGTGAAAAACAACTCATTTTCTCTAAATAATCAAGCATTACTACAAGCTTTAACAGCCAGAAAGAAATAAAAATAAAAAGTTATGAGTTTAATACTCAAAATTAATTCAACCCACTGTTGGGGCCGCAGTCACTTGTGTAAATGTCATATTCATATGCTTCTCAGTCCTAATCTGGCAGCAAAAATATTCATATCCCTTAAAACTTTTTCATATTTTAACCTCAAACCTTAACAATCTTTTGCTGGGATTTCATACGGTCAACAGTAAAATAAATGGAGTTGTCTGGTGAAGGTCTCAGAATTATTAATAAGGACCATAATAAAAATGGAGAATCTGTGGCTACAAAAATTCAAAGAGCTCTACTTGGTAAAACATACCTCAAAAGTAGTTCTACTTTTAGGTTGGCTTCATGGAGTCTATTTATAGATGCAAGCCATTATTTTTGGACAAACCTTTCCAAATAATTTATTACTTTCTTTTTATCTTACAACTATTTGCTTTTCGATGTTGGTATAACTGCTAAAATCCCAACAAAATTAATTAAAGTTTATGGTGGCAACATGAAAAAAATGTAGAAATTCAAGGACTATGAATACTTTGCCAGGTGATGCATATTGTGTTAAAATAGTGACGTTGAACAAAGCCAAAATAGAAACAATTAAGGATTGGATCTATAAAAAAAAATAAAAAAAGAGGTTTGGAAAATGATTTTAACATCTAAATTCATCAAAGCTATAAACAAAACACATTTATGGAAAACAACCTCTCAACTTTTCTGACTATATAACAACATTCCAAGTTTTGGAAACAGTCGGTGATGATAAATAATTTTTTTTCTTACTTATCTAGTGGAGAAATGGGTCAGCAGGACTGTGGGTGTTTTGGTATTACCTGGCCAGATGATAGCCTCCAACAGTGTCACCCTGCGAGCTAGAAGCTCAAGGTCTGCCTGCAAGTCTTGGAACATCTGCAAGCTAATGTCCTATCAGAGAGCAGTGACAGGGGGACTTTATGAGGCTGCAGAAAACACTGTCCAAGTCCTGGGGCTGCCTGTGACTGTTCCTGCCCTCTGTCCCAGCAGTTTGGTATGGTGGGAGTATGGGAGTACCACCCACAGCTGTGACCCCTGCCTAAAGCTGACCCTTCCTCAGGCCTCCTACTCACCATGAATACCGATCATAGTCTCAAGGATTAAAACCCTCTCGGCTAAGATCTTCAGGGCCTCTCTGATCTGATGTATGCCGTCCCCCTGTGAAGATAGATACAGCCGTCAAGGTAAAAAGCAGAAGCTGAAGGACAGTTGGCCAAGATGCAAGTCAGGTTTCCAATACAGTTTAGCTGTTAGAAGGTTATAACAGTCCACATCTCTGTCCAGCATGAATATCCATTCCCTAAATGTATCTTTATATTTTCTTTACTAACATGCTGCATATTATCATTCTCCGCCATGCTGGGCAGGCAAACATCAGCATGCACATGACAGACCAGCATCACGTGGCAGCATAACACAGCTGAATCACACTCTCAGGTTATAGAGATTGCAGCAGCACCCGCATTCTCTTATATGTTTTTTCAGTTCCACAGAGTTCAGTCTTAGTGCATAAAACACACAGAAGTTACCAACTTTCTGTCATTTGAAAGAGGTCCTAAGTAGATTTCTACTCTTACATCTGATTTGTCTTTTGTTGAGGTATAAGGCAGCAACCTCAGGGGGCCTTTACCTTAAAAAGTAACAAAAGTACGGCAACAGGAGATGTAAGATAGACAGACAGCTGGCATGCATCACATTCCCCAAAGAAACAAGCAAAGAAACATGGCTGGAAGTTTTCAAAAAAGTGTGAATGACTTGTTTAGGAGAAAAGAACTGCTAATGAATGGCAACTCAATGGCATTATGTTTAAAGGAAAAAGAAAAAGTTACTTTAACAGCAGGGATTCCTTGCATTATAGACTGCAGGAAATATTCCAGCATTATAATCCCCCCAAAAAAATATTATTGGAGAATTTCTATTATCTACTGCAATGACTAGAGATCCCCTTTGAAATGCAAGGTCAAGGCTATTATTTAGTACTTTCACACCTATATGTTTACTTTCTTTAACATGTTTGCTGTGTCATGGCTTTTGGCAAATGAGACAAAATCCAGATTTGTGGAGAGCCCAGCTACTAGTTTAGTCAAAAGATTTTCACACCTATGCCATAAATTTATGCAATTAATGTGACCCTGTTGATTACTCCGACTAAGACGCTCCTTCTCCATCAGTTTTAAAGTTAAGGTGATGAGCTAATCTTCAGCAAAAGTTAAAAGATTATCCTCCAAAAATGCTGTAAAAATACACACCAGATTTTGATTTGTAAAAGGTTCAAACAATTGTCTTTTTTCCTTTCACTTTTCAAATAATTTTGAGCAATCACATAGACGTTTGAAAGGAATGCACAGCAGTATCTTGAAATCATGTCTTTCAAAAAACAGGAAAAAATTCATTTAAAATTAATTATTTAGCTTTTAGCAAATAGCTGAAGCAACCATCTTCTTCCTCACAAAAACTACAATTACAAATAAATACACTTTTATCCAGACTTTACAATAGCACTGCAAGGTAATGGAAGTAATTGTAATCCTCAAACAAAATTAGCAGGCAGGTGCAAAAAAACATGGCTGCAAAAAATTGTTTTTTTGAGCTAAAATCAGTGCAGCCGGCAGATGAGCGTATCGCCATTTAAGTTTGCCGTGGACATTAAATCCTTCTCTAAATAAAAAGACCATCTTTACCATTTTCCTTTAAATTGCACAGTATTAGTTCACACACTGAATATATTAAAATTAATTTAATAAAGAAGAAAGTGTTAATGCAGCATTGTGTTTGTCATGCAACAGATGAAGAAAAGGGATAGCTGTATCCACTCCACTCATATCAGATCAAAACACCTTAAAAACCCATGAACATATTGGAGCGATTTGGCATATACATCTCAGGTGCATATACATCTCAGGTATATTAGTCAGATTCCTGTATAGAAAACCAAACAAATTGGTGAAAATTAATATCGCACACTTTGAACAAAGCAAAATAACTTCTTTTGCACCAGTTAAGACATGTTGTTCTTGTGCTGGTATGGGTATTTATATGCATATGCCAAAGTTAAAAGCTGAAAAGGTGACTGTGAATGGTAGTCATGGGGAAATTTGCTTGCAGTGGGAGTCAGACAGCTTTAGGGTCAAGATGACAGTTTTGTAACAGGGGACAGCAGTCCAGAGCAAACCCCAAGGACCAACAAATGCACACTTACGAAAAAAACAAACAAAAAAATCAGACAGATCAGACACAGACACATAGAGGTAGGGCTGGGCGATAAGACGATACATATCGTACGGACGATAGAAAAGTGTCTATCGTGCTAATTCTATTCTATCGTTTCTATCGTTTCTAACACAATTGTATCTCGTATTCATGCAAATATTTCCCATGGTAGACTACGACAATCGTATTAGTGTAGCCACGTAGCCTACACACAGCTTATAAGTGATAAACAAGATTTTATTTTTTTTAATCCACAAAGAAGCGGCGTCCTGTGGTTTTTGCAACATGACGCTTCTTTACGGGTTTTTGACTCACACGCGGGTTTGCGACATGCTTTACGTTACTTAACTCATGAGAGTTGGAGACGCAGGAGGCTGAAGTATTAAACCTGTGGTCGCAACAAACAGAGACAGCTACGCAGGCAACCCAAGATAAAGAAATTTTACCAAAAAGAGGGGGCACATCTGTGATTTGGTTACATTTTGGATTTAACAAGTCCAACAAGGAGCAGACAACATTTGCAAACTATGCTATAAGACTGTTCCCTTACCCGATGGCAACACGACAAACCTCTTCTAATACCTAAAGAAGAACCACAGTAATTTAATTTAATACCCGTAGGATTTGAAAAAATGTGAAGGATACTGTAGCCATACTTCTACCTCATCTTATGCATATATATTGTTGCACTACAATTTATTTTTCTAATTTGTGACAGTTCTATAAATGTCACTTCAAAATAAAGTTGAAAAAGTAAGCAATTATATTATTTTGTCATATTTTTCAGAGATTTGCTGAAAATGTACTCAATTGGAGCATATTGCGATATATATCATTATTGTGATATAAAATAGTCCATATCATGATATATGATTTTTTCCATATTGCCCAGCACTACATAGAGGGGTACATTCTAATTCACAAACAATATCAAACAGGTATGTATCAATAGGTATGAATGTATGAACCTGACAGAGAGATGTGCAACTAAACAAATACGTCAAAATAACAGATTAAAGTTCATAACCAGAACCTGAGATGTTGGTTTTTATACTTAAGAGATTAAAAATGAGATGGCTGAATTAAAATATCTTACAGGTAGATTTTTCTTGCAAAAAAAAAAAAAAAGCAGACGTCAAAGTAAATTTAGAGTTAAGCATATACTGTAGAACATTTTGACACTTGAAAAGAGAAAAAATCTAAATCATTGTTGATTTGTGTTACCTTAATGAGCTGCTATTAACTACGGCCTTACCGGCAAGCCCTTCTCCCCTGGCTCTCCTTTTGGCCCTGGCGCTCCCTGTGAAGAGATGCCAACAAAGCGTTGCTTTAAAACATAAATCTATTGAGCATTTTAGAGCTGAAGAAAATAAAACCATTCCCATGCAGGGTTGTGATGTTTTTAGTGCTGCTGTTTAGTGTAGTTTATCACAACATAACCAAACATGAGATGAGTTTATGTTTCCCTCTCAAACATTCTTCAAAAGCAGAGTAGAGGTGACTTACCGGCTCTCCTCTGAAGCCTCTTTCTCCTGGATAACCGGAAGGACCCTAAGAAATGAAAGGAAAGTTACTAGAAATGAGATAACTAAGTTTAAACATATTAGAATTGCAGATCTTAAATCGATTAAACAGTAATTAGAATAACTTGAAATAAATAAGAGGCAGTTCTATCATACGTTATTTAAAATTAACTTATTATGTGAATAATCTATATCTTACACAAGGTGTTTTGCTTTTTTCAGGTGTTGATATCTCCACATCAAATCATGTTGATCTCGTGTTGATTTATTTAACAGCTGCTGGTCTAAATGCAGGTTTCAGTTGTAACAAAAGGTGAACCGGACTTATCAAAATTGATATACTTTAACAAATTTTACTCTACTTAAATATTTAAATTTCCATGAGATCCTTCAGGGTTTTATGCATTGTTTAGAAGCATAGATGTTACTATATGCATGCTTCTGAAAGGAAAGAAATAAAGGAGAGTCTTATAAATGTCTTCTTTTAGTTCTTTCAGGAATTTAGCAACTTCCCTGAAAAAAATGACCCAAACTAAATAAACATTTTGTTTTATTTACTGGGAGACAAAACAAGGTTTTGTGTCATTTTATACAATGTTTTTATAAAAGGTTTCAACTGTATGTAGCAACATAATATTACTTTTTAACATGAAAGAAATCATAAAGCTAAGTAACAGTGGAGGTTTTTTATGTGAGCAAAGACTCACCACCTTCTATCAGGGGACAGCAGAAGCACTTGGCAAAGCATAAAGAGAACTCTTCATAGTAATAATATTTTGTCTCTTCCTTGCATGTTTTATTACAGAAGAAGCACTGTAAAAAAGTACACTTATGCACCATTAAAATCTTTATTTAAAATCTGGAATTGTATTCATTTTTAGTGTTAAATAAAAATAAAAAAAAACTTCAATTTTTTTTTAAAAAGACATGAAAATCACTAGTGCAATGTATGCTCCATTCTGTAAAATGCTCATTACACCATTAGTTTAATATGAAAACACCCAAAGAGTCAGAGTCAACTTCCGTCTCATTATACACTTAATTTTTGAGCAAATTCTTGAATTGTAAACATTTAAAAAGTTATGCTTTTTAAGAGAGCAAAAACATTTGGTTAGAAATGAGAGGATTCACCAACTCTGCTGGGAATAATCCACAAAGCTTTCATACTCTTTATGGATTAAAAGCAATGGAGATCCCCTTTCATTAGATTTTAGTATGGCAACTGAGGGATCACTGTAAATAATTGATAAAAGCAAACAACCCCCCCTTAAATCATCTGGGGTTCGTTCCCTTTATACACTTCTTGATCTTCATAGTCAGAGTTTTCTTTGCATAACAACTGCAGACAGTCCCAAACAAGTGAAGAGTGTTGTGGCTTCACATAGTGTGACCGCAGATTTGGTATACAAACATAGCCTATTAGGACTGAGAAATGTGTTGCTTCATGTGAAACATATTCAGAAATAAACAAAAAAAATGTCTGTTTACCAAAATTGGCCAAATTTGACAGGAAAGTCAGAGGCTCAAAAACCATAAGTAAGCCCTACCATACTGCATTCACCATCAACAGTAGTAGCCATTCAAAATTTCCTCACTTTCCTTGATGATTCCTTGGCTGGCTTGCTTTTTAAACATCAATCTTTGCACTAAAATAATCTTTCTGTCATAATTTGTGGACATTAAGATCTAAAGAGGTCTTGGTAAAATCCTGTCCCAAGATCCTCCTGGTAAAATCCTGTAATTCAGTGAAAGGGTGGAGTACAAAAATAAGCAAGAGGAGATCACTGCAGTGGCTGAAAGTTGGAGGGGATTTAGCTGGGAGTTGCAGGGAAGTGGGCTGCCATTTGGCTGGCGTTTGACTGGGAAGGGCCACGAATGGCTGCTGATGTATTAGGTCAGATTAATTGCACTCTTTGGTGTGGAAGTCAGCTTATTGAGTAATTGGCTATTTTTTCAGTAAGAGAGCAGTTTAAAAATGTTAGAACAAGTCGAAGGAAATGTTGGAAACTTTATTTTCTATTAAATGAGTCATATCTGCACTTCATTAAGGCCAGAAAGCAGGAGAGATTTCAAGCAGATAACAAGGGTTAAGTGGAGCACAGAAAAGTCTCTACTTTTGACTCAGACTTTGAACCCCTCTCTGCAAAGAAACATGCTGGATTTGAACATTTTGTCAGCCTTTTAGAAATTTTAGAGTTCAAGTAAAAATGTATTTCATCTAAACCGGTGGTTCTCAATCCTGGTCCTCAAGTGTCGCTTCCTTGCATGTTTTAGATTTTTTCCTCGCTGCCACACACCTGACTGATGTAAAATAATGATAAACAGTCCTCTGCAGCGCTTGATGGCTGTGGAGGTCATGCAATCATTTGAATTAGGTGTGCTTCAACAGAGAGACATGCAACTCAAATTTTTTATTATTTTTGTCTACATTTTAACACTTCAGTTAAAGATTGTTTTCTTAGCAACTTATCTCACGTAGAGGGTTGTGGGTAAAAAACAATAACTGACTGCCTTGCTTACATAATTTCATTAAGGGAAGTCGGACACAGTCGAAATTTGTATAAGCAAGTCAGATTTCCCCTTAAACTTGGGATGAGAAGTTAGCCACACGGATTCGGATCTATAAAGTGCATCATGATTATGCTGTCAGTGCGCTGAACTAAAGCAACAGTGTATTTCAACAACGCTTTCAAGATTCTTTTATTTTGCTCAATTTTGCCTCAGTTTTACAATGTTTAATAAAATATTGCATGTTTACAAAAAAATATTTGTGCGGTTATATCTAATATTCAGCCTAGTATTCAAATTGAGACATAGGCAACCTGATTTTAAAGCTTTTACCAACTGTCAAAAATACTAGCGATGACAATTGGAGTCATTTAGCCAACTGGAGCACATTTGTATTGTAGGATGTTGAGGACTGTCCTTTAAATAAGAAACATGGGCTGACAAACCTTATTTTGTAAAAGATGAAGAGCAAGAACAATACACATCCGCAACTTAGGTTTACAAGGTACTTACTCTTTCCCCTCGATCTCCTTTTGGTCCGACTGGGCCTGGTGCCCCAGGTGTTCCAGGGCTCCCCTGCAGTCAGTCAGAAAAAAACAAACCAAAATGACAAACATACTGACAGCAACAGTGCTAAGAACACCTGGTGAGTCCAGTGCATGGTTACATGGCATGTAAGGCAGCTTACATTCTTTCCTGATGGGCCAGGAGGGCCTCCTGGGCCTCTGGGACCTGGGGGACCTGTGTGTTAGAAGCATGGAGTCATTGTTTCTCTCTAATGAAGAAGGCAAAGCCCATTCTGACATGATGTTTGTGTTTCCCCCTAATTTAAAGTAAATCTTTGAGGCATGAACACAACCTTTTCAAACTTCAAAAACCCTGACAGAAAAAGTCGAATAAAATGTACATTCAATATTAGGATGTTTGAGTTGCACACAGAGGTTTTCCAACAACCGCATAAACATCCTGTAAACATAAACACTTACCGACAGGCCCGGGAGGACCCTCAGGTCCTGGAACAGGCAAACCTCTTGAGTCATGGAAAGTGTTGGTGAAGAAGGGATCTTTTCCATGATCTGGGTTTGAAAGAAATTTAATGAATCAGATACTTAAGTGGAACTTCAGACTAATGAAGAAACAATCTAAGAAGATAAAAATCTGTCACACTTTACATGATGATAAACATGTGTCACAGAGAGTAATTATTGTCTTTTTAGCCATTCACTTTAAACAAATCCACAGACGGAGAGGATACATAGTTTTTACGTGTGTGACGAACATTTGTTTTTCTGTCTTCTGCTGCAGTTATTGGCCGTTTCCGCTAGCTTTTCAGCTTTAGACTGAAATGTTTGAAAATAATCTTTGAAATATAGACCAAACTCAGTCAGATTAGATGTAGAGCATCTTTAAACACCAGGTTTGCCACAGATCCTTAATTGGATTTAGGGCTTTGACTAGATTAATATAGTTAAATTTTATTGTTGTAATTTATTGTTCTAGTCAAATTTGACTAGGTTCTAACACTTTTTTACTTTGATGTACACATAGATGAAATTGTGTATCCTTGTTTATCAAAATAAAAACCCCCAATGGTCATAGAAATGACAAAAGTTATAATGAATTAAAAACATCTATTCAGATTTTTTTATTCATTATTCATTCTATGCTTCAACAGAAATGTTGTAAAAAATAAACTCATAAAAGAAAAAAATGTATTATTATTATTTCTTTCTCCCCTCATTCTCCTGGACACAGGAGGGCACGATTTATTTGCTGCTTTGTTGCTTATCTGATGGGCATCCCCTTAGTGCATCACAATAGCTGAGCTGAATATTATCGAAGACTACCTCAAAAAATAATTTGAATTCTTCCAGTAGCTTGTAGTGTTTGCATAGTTCAATAGAAATAATAATTATTATAATAATAAGATATGGAGTATTAGGTTCAATAAAGCAACCCCTTTTTTGAAATGTGGTTTTCTGTGATCATTTTGTACAGCAGAGGCCGATTGTCTTTAAGAGCAGAGCCTACTTCTGTTGTGTTAACAATTTGAATAGACAGACAAAAATAGTTTTCTTGTGGTTAATGACTAATAATTCTGCTTAATGTATAAACCAATTTATAAACATTTACTGATGGTGGACACAACTTGGATTTGAACAAAATATCCAGTCACAAAGGTAAGCAGCTAATGACACCTGGTAATTGATCAAAAAGTCAGTTATAATCATTTAAATTAACTTATCTCTTTATATAAACTTGGAGGCTTCAGTGAGTCCAGTGTATCTTTAGGATGACCTCCAGAGGGCAGTAACTTCCAGATAAATGTGAAATTTCATGCACAAGTCAGCAAGAGCTGCTCCAAACCCACTAAACTATACTTTAATCAAAAGTACCTAAGCATCATTAGATCCAGGTTGGAGGGTCAATAAAGCTGAGTCTTGCTATATTTAAATGTCTCCATATATTTTATGTGAAACCTCTTGGACTCAGATCAATCAAACCACATGTACCCACAGCAAAAGTACAAGAGGAAAAGGGTGGTGAACATGTGTGTGATGAGGAAGTGTGTGGCAGCTGGGTCATTTTATTCTGACAGGAAGCACAGATCCAATCACAGGCCTGAGAACTCAGAGATACTGAGATGACAGAGGAAGAGGAAGATGGTGATGATGAGGAGGAGGAACGCTGATGGCCATAAACATCCTCCCTCTGCCCAACGTGTGGACATCACTAAGCAATTAGGAGCAGAGTTGACAATTTCTTTTGAAGTACTAAGGCAGCCACACTGATGAATACTGAAGTATTCTCACAGTCACCCTCTTCACTGCTGATGCCCATCCAGTGGCTAAATGCGGGTGTTTTCCAAAGGAAGCTCGGTGCAAACCAACCCCCGCCTCTGATCCTCAGTTACTTTGATGTCAAAGAAATAGCCAACACTTTGGAAGTCATCATGCCAACTTCATCGCCCCCGCAGCTCTCCCCAGCGGAACTCAGAGATTACAAATCTTTGTACTGCATACTTTGTTTTACCACCAGACCCAATTGTAAAACCCATGGGTTGACCTTGAAAGAGCCCATCCGTCTCCTGTTCCCCTCCCTTAGCTCTCCGAGGAACCTACATCTGGAAACCGTTCAGTGACATTGGTTGTTGACAGGCTCTTGCCTCAGCATGTGAAGTCTGCATCAATTTGACAGGTTTTTACTGAGTGTGCATCCAATCCACTATTTGATTCTGATCTACTCTGCTGGTAGTAGACAAATGGCAGATGGGAGCAGGTAGCAGCAGACAGGCTTATATCAACCTGCATGGTTATTTAAAAATCCATTTTTGCCAAGACTAATATTGCTTGGATATAACATTTTATTAACTGAACCCAATCACAAAAAAAGCTTCCACCCTCTATTGACATAATTATCTTAAATTCTCACTTCGTAATGAAGTTTAACTGTAATTTCATTACAACTTTTATATAAAAGTTACACAATAAGAATTTTTGAAATGTAGGAACACTGACCATTTTTTCCCCCTCAACACTAAAATGTAAAAAAACAAATGTTTATTTCTTCTGTTGATAAAACAGGAGATAAGGTGATAAGTCAAAAGCGAAGGAAGAAATGTCTTGTAGAAGTAATTTAACAATAACACAACCAATCCTCCTTCTGAGAAAAATCTAAGGATGGACTTTTGTGAGTTCTGGTGCTCTGTTGGCATTAAAATTTGCAAATGTGTTTTGATTCATCTTGAAAAAAAAGAATGAAAGTTTCTAGAGGGAGCAAAGAACTTTTGTTGCACCTCATTTGCTAAAGATGATTATAAAATAATAAAAAAGGCATGACTTTGAATCCTTATGTTTTAGATTTCCTTTTTTGCATTTGGTTTTGTTTTTAGTTGCGCTTACTATTTTAGTTCATAGTTTTTTAGTCCTGTTTTACTTTGGAGTCTAGGTGTGTTCCATTTAATTTCAATTCAATTCAATTGAAAATACTTAATCTGATTAATTAAACAAGATTTAATTTTCGCTAGTTGAACTAAGTCACTGCCTTGATCAGTTTCAGGTTTTTTTCTTCAGCATCTTGCTCTTCATTAAACCTCTTCCATCTAGAAGTCTGTCTCACCTGCTATCCATTCTTTAATTCTCCATCTCAGTATTTCGGCCTCTTTGGTTCAGTTGTGCTTTGTGAAATTCTCCTGTTATCAATCCATTTGTCATCCTGTTTGAGTCTATAAAATGTGCTATAAAATGTGTATAAAATGTGCAACAAAACTAAGAGGACAGTGATGTTTGAACATTAAAAACTGAAGGATATATTTGCATGTGTATGGGGGTGAAAGGAAACCCCACAAACAGTGCTGCGCTTTTGTGTTGCAATCATTTTGCCAAAATCTTTCCAAATGCATTTACTTCTTTATAAACTTGTTGCATGTCTAATTTAGCGAGTTAATCATATATAACATATTCTGCTGATCAATAGATGCCTGAAATCAGACTAATAATTACTTAATGATAATAGGATATATCTACTGTGTACACACCGCACTGTACTGTTTTGTATTATATTACAGCTGTTTTGAAATCCAGCTTTACCCCTTGGATTCCATTGGTGTAACTGGGTAATTACTATCTTAGTTAATTTTAGGCTTATTCTTCTACCCATTCCCTTGAACGTTTAAATCACGAAGGCTCTGACATTACGTTACATGTTAATAATCTTGTACATGCTAAATGTCATTTATTAAAGTAAACATGAGACTGTCTCCCTTTTCTCAGCATTTGGATCCTCAATGACCACAGTCTATACGAATGTGCTGATCTTCTGTCAGTATAATGTTCAATTCTGTTGCTCTACCAGACTCTTAAGTAATCTTTGACTAAACTTTCTATTCCAAATGTTTGTTTGGACTTAACAAATTTATTTAATTATACAGTGCAGTCTCTAACCAGCTTTAGCTGCTTTAAAGCTACAGTGTGTAACTTTTAGCGACATCTAGCGGTCAGACTGCAAACTGCAGCAACATGAACATCTCCCCCCCACCGCTTCTCCCCCCCAACAGTACACGAGCTTTACGGGACAAAATGTCTTCCACGAGGTCTGCATCACCTACCTTCTCAAGTGATGAGGTTTGTTTACATAGATAATTTTACAGAGAGTATTTCATTAGTCTGTGTAGGGTATAGATTTCATGTATACTTAAGATAATAAATATACCCATTATTTTTTCTACATCGTTGTGACATTTTGGCGATCTCGCAATCACTAGTTTGTTGGCTCTGCGCTGCCGTAGCGCAAAGATGTCTGCCTCCATGGCTGCGAGACCCGCTCCTATGTAATTATAAATAACGAATTCTAAGGCAACGCAAATATTAAGGTTAAGAGGCTGAGCTCGTAGATGATGATAAAATAACATAGTTATGTATAATATATTACATTTCTGACTGTATATCCCTGTAATTATTACACACTGTAGCTTTAAGATAATTAGGTCTCCTCATTATGCCCCATGAATCATTTGAACCACAAAGGCGTGTATTTGTTTCATGTCTTTGCAGGATTTACATTTATATATATAAGAATAAAATGATCCGATATAATTACCATTCAGGACACTTTATGCATCCTAAATCTTATAGGTACCTCTACTTCTGCAGGTAATAGACACGCTGAGTAAATTCAAAAAACAGTCATTGTAATCTAATAGTCTGGACATAACTACAAAGCCATTACTAAGGCTTTGGGACATCATTATACTACAGTCAGAGCTGATATTGACAAATGGAGAAGACATGGAACACTCATTACCTGGAGTCACTAGCCTAAAAAAACACTAAAGTAACACAAAAACGTGTAGTCATCAGAAGGTGACAAAAGAACCCAGAACACCATCTAAAGCCCTACTGGCCTCATCAGCCTAATCTAAGCTCAATGATCAAGGCTAAACAACAACAAAGATCAAAGACTTTTGGGAAAATATTCTGTGGCTGATAAGAAAGAAGTGGAACTTTATGAAAAGTGTGCATCCCATTTCATCTTCACTAAAACTAATTTCAGACCATGAACATCACACCAACAGTAACACATGTGGGTAGCTGCTTACTGTGGTCTGGTTCTGGGATGCGGGCGCTAACTGGGGATGGTGGGCCTGGAGGCCCAGGTGGCCCTGGCAGCCCTCTCTCTCCTGGGAGTCCGGGTGGACCGCGGGGCCCTGAAAGAAAATGATTCATTAGAATGGTGGCAGAGATCTGGCACGTCATGGTAGAATTAAATCTTAAACACTCTTCCTAAGAGCCATGACACAATGCAGACTGATGAATGACTGTGGGTGATATGCTAAACTGTAACAGAGAAGAGTATTAGAGGAAGTATTGATAAAACTTACAACTTGAGTTTTCTCTGTGACTATATGAGGACATATGAAGCAAAGTTATGGGCTGAGAGGAATAAAGGGGACATAGTGAACTGACCAAGTTTATTACTCTGTAATTAATTACAGGATCATTAATGAATAGGCACTTAAAACTTGGTAGTATATAGAAAATCACTTCCTTTCTTCATCCTTTTCTTTCTTTGCACTCTACCTTTCATCTCTTTTCTGTGTTCTCCCATTTTATAAAGTCTTGTTGACTACATTCCTCCCTTTTCTGTTGTGCATCCTTTCTTGTATCTTTGCTTCCTCGTTCTTGTATAATTCTTTATCTTCTACCATTTTGTCTGTTCATTCATTAGGTCCCTTTCCTCACTTTTTGCCTATCTTCCTTTCCTTTATGCACTCTTCTTTCCTTGTGCCAATCCTTCCTCCCTTTGTTCCTCCCTTGTCTCCTCCTTTCCTTCTCCACGTTTTTCCCTAATTTCTTGCCTTCATCCCTTCCTTCCCTCTCATATATGCTGCCTTCTCCCTGTGTTGGGTTTTCCATAATTGTATTGCTTTTTCTATACTTCTTCATCCTACCACACCCTTCCTTCCTTCCTTTTAGTTTTTAGTTTAGTTTTTAAAACTTATCTGCCATAATTCATTAGTAAAATAAGCATTAAAATACTAAAATAAACATAAAGGATGTAAATCTAGAAAGATAAATCTAGAGAAATATGGGATTCTTAAATAAAAAATGTGGAGGAATCCTGTCCACAGTTGTGTGTAACAGGTCTCAGACAGGCTGCTAGTAATAGTGCCCTCTCACCTACTTCACTCACTAATTTGAGGCTGGAAAAAGCATCATCTGACCTAACTGCGGCCATCACCTCTGTCCCTTCTTTTCATCAACACTGTTTATGCAGTCAGGCAATTGTTAAGTACAGTCCGATAATTACTGCAGCGCTCCATGATGTTATTACAGCTTTGATTTGACAGTTTGTGACCTTCTAGCTGTTTTCTCTAAACTTTGGTAGGGTATAGAAGAACAGCTTACAAAGTGTTGGCTATTTCTCTGAGACTGTAAGCCATCTGTAGCACAATGGTTTACATTAATACTCCAACCGGCCTTTCAAAGGTAATGCAACATATTAGGGAAATCTGTTAAACTTTTTAATCTTCCAGTTAGAATCCCCATCCAGATTCTGAAGGAAAGCTGTGACAAAACGATAGCATATTTGCAACACAAAGTGGACTTTTCTTTTGTATTGAGTATTTTTTAGGTTACACTGGTCACATTTCACCCCTATATTTATCTGTTACTTTAAATGAAAGAAGAAAAAAAATCCTTTGGATACCCATGAAGTAATGGAGACAGAAAAAACAATAACACTGCAGGCATATGGAAATCATAAGGAGCTCAGATTTGTATATGTATAGCTCATGCTTACTTCAGATTGAAGTCACATGGAGCTGCTCAGAAAGTGCAACGACCTAACGACCCATTCATCGGTTTCCATTGCATGTTTCCAAGCGATACAAGGCGTTGTCTATATAAGACTCAAACTCACTGCGGATCCAGACATTTGAATTGAGAAAGCTTCCTGGAGAGGTGGCGAAACGTCTTCAAATCTTGAAAACCAAGTCCAGTGGATATTTTTTTGAATTTTTACGGAATGCTCAGAAAGTGGGTTTGTAGTTCAAGTTTCGTCCTAAATCTCACTTTCACCTGGCAGCCTGTGCAGCACAGGGTTCATACGTTAGCCTGAAAGGAGAAACACTCCCTTCGTGATTCAAAGCAGAGGAATAACAGTCAATAGCAAGAGCAGATGTTGTGGCACAACTTAGACTGCCATTTACTTTAGTCTTTACAGTTACAGCTAAAGGTGGATTAACTTTTCCTCAACAGGTCATCTGTTATCCCCCTACAATGAAAAGTGAGTTCTGGATTTAAAGGATATATTTATGATTTGATTTCACTCCGTGTTGATGACAGTGAATAGCAGGACACAGATGTGAGTTCATGCTGTGGCTCAAGACATATTAACTCCAAACGTTTTCTTTTTTTTTTTGTCATCTCAAAGGGATTTTATAAAATATACCAACAAAAATTAGCACACTGTTGTGAAGAGGCAGGACAATGAAAAATCGTCAGGAGAACAAAAAGGTCTATGTGGCATGTATATTGTTTTCAGCTCCATTTATTCTGATAACAGCTTTAGTTTATGATATTATATTATCTCAAAGGTGGAGAATCATAAGGATTAAAACCATCATCCAGACATGTAATGGGTGTGGTGGAACCGCAAAACTAATGTAGACAAGGCCGTTCACAGGAAATGAAAGGCCAATGTAAAGACAGCAATAATTGGGGAATCCAGACAAGAGGGTCGTGGCAACTGCAGCAGATTTCGAGCACTTATGAGTTATGGTTTCGTTTTCTGGTCCTTGAGGTCCTTCGTCCTACATCGTTTAGATGAGTTTTTGCTTTAAAACACCTTAGTGAAATACTCAGGTGATAAGCAGGACTCTGGAGAACTTGACAGCATGCTGAGGATCTAATTCCCCTGTTCGATTTAGATGTGGAAGCAGAGATTTCTGAACTCTAAAAGAGGAACCTTTTTACCTGATGCAAAACATTGTTTGTGATGGAAAGCTTGCTCTACACATCATCATGAAAACACCATCCATATCATAAAACATGGTTGATTGCAGCATTACGCTGTTTGAACGCTTTACTTCAGCAACGGGGAAGAAACTGATCAGAGTTGACCGAATAATGAACAAAGTTAAATATTGGAAAATTCTGCAGTGAAATCTGTAATAGCCTGACCATAGCATTGACTGAGGATATTCATGTGTTAAAGTGGCCCAGTCAAAGATTATACCTAAATTCAACTAGGAATCTGTTTTATGACTAGAAAATTGCTCAGAGAGTCTCTTCACTCAGTTTGACTTAAGTTGAACTATTTTGCAAAAAAGGGTAGGTAATAAGGGTAGGTCTTAAGATGTGAAAAGCTGGTAACACGTTTCAGATTTTTTGCGAAAAGCTTAACATGCTTAAAATAATAATAATTCTCCATCAGAGGCAATTTCTCAATAAATACTACAGAGGCTAAACCTCCCCTGTAAATTTCGGAAAGTTATTGGTAAAATATGCACTGTTTCAGAAAGCAGCAGCTGCCACTGTTTTCCTCCCACTCGCCTATTATATACTATGGTACTTTGTGTTGCGTCGGTTTCATAAAACCCACTAAAACACAATGTAGCCTGTATTTGGTGGAGATAAATGAGGATTTAAAGGGGTTGTGTCCGTTTGCAAGGCACTGCAAGTAGTCTAAATAAAACTTTTAGTGGCACTTAAAAATATCTAACCTTAAAAGCAAACCGATAGAGTTGAAATTTCACTGAACAACCAGCAGACCTCAAAGGCCATTGGAATGTTCCAGCTTTCAGCTCTGAGGGTCTTTTGGCTGACCAAAGATCAAAAATCTTACTCCGACAAATAGCCTTTTGCAGAGTATCAAAAGTCAAATTTATCATCTGCTGTTTTTGCTGCTCTATTGTCAAAAACCATATAGTCATATTGAGAATGTAATGAGTAGTTTGAGATGTAAACAAATGCCTTGCAGGACCATGTAGCTTTTTTTAAGAAGCGTGTACAGTGCTAAATATGTTTATAATCAACTGGGATATCTAATGTGAAAGATGGCTGTAAATCTCTGGTTCATTCTGACCTGCTGGTCCTGGAGGTCCCTTCAATCCAGGAGCTCCTGGGGGACCCCTTGCTCCAACCTCTCCTGGAGCCCCATTGGGACCTGGCAGCCCTCGAGTTCCTGGCTTTCCTTTAAGGAAAAAAAATAAATAAATCGGGAGTAATCAGGAATCCCTTACCTCGTTACATCCTGGATGACATCAGCTGAAGTGCAACTACAATTACAACTTACCATCTCTGCCAGGAAGTCCATCTCTGCCCTTTTCACCCTGAGGACCTGAAAAAGAAACAGGAGATTCCTTCATTTGGAGGTTCATATCTGTGAAAAAATCTGAATTCAAGCCACCTGGAGAAGATGAAGTGTAATTCCTAAGAGGCATTACATGCATTTCAGCCTAAATTACAGCTTCCCTGTGAAATGAACCAATGTGTTAGGTGAAGATACAGCTCTTATATAAGTGTATAATTGAAACATGGATTTTAAATTTGTAACAGTTTGCAGGACTTACACAAAAACGCATTTTATAGTATATACTTGTCATGATTCTTCCTTTTCTGGGCATTTTGGTTCTGTTTCAGTTTTCTTTCTTAGTTTTCAGCTACACTTTGACTAATGTTATTCTGTGTTTTCTAGGTAATTGTTTCATTAACGTTTTGTGTTATTCTAGTTGTTTTTCTGGTTGTATTTGAGTTCTTATGTATTTTTCGTTTACTGTCTGTTCCCCCGTGTGTCAGTCTCCTTTCCTCCCTTCTAGATCCTTCTGTCTACACCTGCTCCCAATCAGTTAATTACTACATTCTTTGTTCTGTTTGGCATTTACACCAAAATCCCACATCCTCTGTAACCGCTCTGCTCTGCTCTGCCCTGCTCCATTTCAGACCTCCTGCACAAGGCAAAGCCTACAGCCTCAGCGGTTCCTCCCATCTTGCTCCGCTCCAACTTCCCTGGAGCTCGAGGAGAGCATGCGCAATAATATTTTTTAATTCATAGGAGAAAAACATGCGGTAATGAACCCTTAATTTATTGCGACATAATTAAAACATCAGCATCAATCACACAGGTTTCTGCCCAAGCATATTTTTTTCCTTGTGAGTCTTTGTAATAGGTATAATTAGGATCATACAGAATTGGTTTGTTCTCTACTTCCAAATTCAGCATCTCTTCATCCATGCCTGCGATAAGAAGTTTCTTTTAAAGCTGCAAGATGCGCTTTTGATAGTCTAATTTCCAAAGAGGCACATGGTCTGAAAAGTCTTTGACAACCTTCTTTCATGGAGAATCATATTTAAGGTCTTTTTATAAACCAATAAAAATCATCTTATAGTTTCAGAGAAAAACTCCTGCTTAGGCCTTATATCGATGCTCTTGTACTGCAGTTTAATTTGAACAAAACAAAGACAAAACAGAAGCACTAGTTAAAAAACAAACTAACAAGTCCAACAAAAAAAAAACTAATAAAAAAAAACAGAAAAAGAAAATTTGTTTAGGGAAAAGCTTTGCACAGAGTAGTAGAGTTTAACACACCCACTTTAATCCCAAAGGTCTAAACAAAATCTGTTCTGATAGACTAGTTAGACTAAATAATACGCACTCCTTTAGATCATTTGGTTTGTAATGTGTTGGACTCAACACAGGACATTGATTTTGTGAACAGAAATGACAGAAAATGCAGGAAAAAGATCTGAACGGGTAACAGACTGCAAATAATGATCATATTTGCCTGAAAGAAAGGAAGGAAGCGCTGTTTCTTGTCAAAGTATGGAAAATGTAAAGCTCTAGAGTCCAATTAATGGAAAAGGTACATACATTTACATTAGCACATATGGTCATGGGTTACCTGCAGGTCCCCGCTCACCAGGGGCTCCTTGAGCTGAGACTGCTCCCATCAGCAGCGAGGTCTCTGGAGCAGTTCCCCCTTTACTTTGAAGATGGCGATGTGATATGCTCTCTGGTACTGTGAGCAATTGAACCTGAGGGGAAGAAGAAAAAAACAACCGCAGGTCATTTAACGGTATCCTCTAATAAAGAAGAGATATGATCTTGATAAATAATTCATATAAAGTTTTCACCTTTGCCTCCAGTGAGTTGAGTTTTTCGCTTAAAGCTGTGATTCTACTGCAGTTGAGACAACCTAAAAAATAGAAAATGGATTTCTTAAGCTGGAGGATGCAGATATCAGGGTATCTCCTTATCATCTTGTTTTTATGCAGGAACAGGAAGACGTTCACTGGTCTTACTTAAGATAGATTCTCCTGTGCGCGCTGGCGGACGCCTTGATGTGGATGCTCTCCTGACAGCCTCTTGAGCTAAGGCCTGGTTCCCTGGATCTGTGACAAACAACAAAGTACCAAATAACATCAAATAATGTCTCAGATGAAAAGTTTCAGAAACAATCTCACCTTTAAAATGTGATGATCAGATTTAGGATTTACATTCCTGATAAAGTAATTTTGAAACATAAACTTTTCCTTCTCTGAAAAATAAAGCTAAATTTTCTTGTTCACTTAATTTATATCTTATGAGTCTAGACATAGAAACAGTTCATTGATGCTGTAACCGTTGACTACTATTGGATTTTTTTTCCACAACCTACTGCTGTGGAAAAAAATCCAATATGTACCAACAAGACAAAAAAACTTAAAAAACCAAAATGTGACAGTGGCCTACAGGGGTTAAAAAGTATTTTTATCCCTTAAACCTTTTCAAATGTTTGTTGTGTTACCAATGCAATCATGCATGTACTTCTTTGGTATGTTTGTGTGACAAAAAACATCAATAGGAGGCTGATTGCTAGATGGATGAAAAGAAAACAACATATGATTATAAAAAAATGCTAAAGTTGCAGTTGTATTTTGCAGATCCAAGTCCAAGTTCTGTAGAATTAACTTTTGCAATAATTACAGCTCAAAGTCCTTCAGGGTGTCCATCAGGTTTGTACATGTAGAGCCTGACATATATGCACATTCATGTTTGCAAAATAGCTTAAGCTTAGTCAATTTAGATGAAAGCCATCGGTGAACTTTATATTTTAACTCTTGCCAGACATTCCTGGTTAGATTTACATCTGATCTTTGACTGGGCCGTTTTAAATCAATCAATTTGTTGTGCAAATGCAATATCCAGCCTGTAACTGGTGCTGTATGATTTGAACTTAACTATTCCACTGCAGCTCTGACTGTAGGGACCCATATCTTATCCATTTACTTTTCTTTCAGTCTTGCTCCATCAATTGAGAAGCTTTCCTGTCTCTGCTGTAGAAAAACATCCCCCCAAAAAAAGAAGCTTCCACATCAATAATTTACAGAGGGGATGGTGTGTTACGGATGCTGTGAAGTATTAGTTTTCAGCTATAATTAGGGTTTTAGATTTAAAAAAGTGCTCTGGTCTCATATGATCAAAATACCTACTTCAACATGTTTTCATTGCCTCCCTACATTGCCTTTGCCTCACTGCAAATTCAACTTTCAGTTGGTCTCTTTAAAGAATGCCTTTTTTCCGCTTCTCTTTCAAAGCTTAGGATGTTGTTTTATAATCTATCCCTATTTTAAACATCTCAGCAACTCTATGCAATCCTGACCTTTAATGCAGTGAGCAAAAAGGTCTGCAGAGAGGATCATCAGTGCTGACCTTCTATCCAGGTGCTTTACAGGTCTCTGGTCAGGAGAAGGGCAGCCAAGAGAGAGATCTCACACAGTTTATTTTTATAAAGAGTACTATTAGCAAAGACCAGCCCCCATAGATACAGATTCTTCACTAAAGCTATGAGCATTAAACATTCCCAGAGTACTCAGAACAATATACCATAATGAAGCAAATGTTTTTTTTCTACAAAATTCTTTTCACATACGTTTGTTCAACATGTCTTCATGGGGGTCAAAGAGGAACTAAACTCAAATGTCTTGCTTGTGTGCACCTGAAATAATGCTGGTTCTGATTTAACATACCCCTGAGGCCTTCACTAACCAGCCTAATTTATGCACAGATTATATCGAACACAGGTGCAATGTGTGAGATTTTTGAAGACTTGTGTTTTCTTTTATTTTTAGGGATCAGAACAAAGTGGGTGAAAGCAAATGTGGAAAAACCATGTATGGTTTCGATTTCACTTCAAATTTATATGTTCTATTACATACCATCCATAATCTAATAATCTATCCATAATTTAAATCAAACTGCTTATAATGAGCTTTTTCTATCCATTAGAGAAGCTCTTTATTTTGAAAAACTTTCTAGGGAGAGAAAGGTGGAAATCAACTGTAAGAGCAGCAGCTTTTGTCTGTGTTATATTTGCTGCTTCCTCACTAAGTTGTGTTTCTTTCCCATTGTCTCTTATATTGTGTTATTCTGCAAAGCTGTGGACTAGAGGCATGTAAAGAGAAACAAAAGAGTCTGTTGTCTGAAGAGAATAGACTGTCTCAGCTCTTGTTCTGCCTTTACCTCATTTTATGGAGTGTAGGATTTTTTTTGTCTTGAAGTTCTGGGATGTTTTGAATGGGTGGACTTTTGTGGCAACACTAGACTGATTCCATTGTCTAGAACTCTAGACCACTTTTGCCCTGGTTGGCCCAGGTGCTTTTAAAACAAATAAGTGGTTGGGTTCAGCACCTCATTAGCCACAAGGAAGCATGTCTTTCCTTTCACTGCCCCAGCTATGCCAAATGCAACATTGAGAGAAGCCATTAATAGCACCTGCACCACAGCTGAGGCAAGATAGCCATATTCCTCTTAAACAGCTTCAATGACATAACTGTAGATGCCATAATCCTCTGCAGGAAATCCAATGGATTATTATTACAATACATAAAAATAAACATTATATATAAACCTAGAAAGCAGCAACAGATAATATAAAACACACTGCATATGGTTCAGAGTAAATTCAGACTGCTTCAATTATCCCCCCTTCCTTCTCCTTTGTGCCCATGATTTCACTGTTTTGGGTTGTGGGCATTTCTCAGCGGATTACATGTGTGCACAGACTCAAACAATCTACTCTTTGAGAATGAAATGTTACTGTATAAGATCTGCATGTTCACCCTTACATGTTTTAAGAACAATATAAACTCTTTCACTGAGATGGGGAGAACACACATTCTGTCTCCCCTCCCCTCTCACCCGTCCCACACGTCAGTCCACATGAGGGAAAGCTGCGGAGACAAAGGGAAGTGTGTATGTGTGTACATGTGAGAGTGCATCCCGCAGAGCCTCCCCACAGAGTCCGGATCATGTAGACGGCTGTTTTCAATTACAAAAAAAGGGGATCTGGGCCGGAAATATAGGTCTTACTCCTCCCCTGGCAGCAGAACTTCTTGTCCCTCAGAAGTAAAGAACATTTAAGATCAGTTCCCAAGACAAGATGTTTTTTCTGCAAGGAATTAAGCTTGCTTTGAAATTACAAACCAGTGCCTTCCACTCAGCTCTGTAACATTAAGGAGCATGTTTTCATCTGCAGTGCATGCAATGGTTTCAGCAGACAGTCTGCTGTATGTGTGCAGACAGAGGATGAACAAGATCCACTCTCTGTTGGCAAATAACATCGTCTTTACACTCTATCAGCTCTTTGATCTAATTGACTAATTCTTCCTGCTCGAGGGGAAGAAAAAATGTGATAATGTGTTTGACCTGTTCAACCCCGCAGTAACATTAGTGTCCAATCAGCAGCTTAGCCAGAGCTCTTCATTAGAGATACCCCTGCAGTGAGTGCAGCAGGGCAGAGACTAAACCTTTTCTTATCACACTCACACAAAGTTCAGTGATTCGTTTGCAAACACTTCCTGGCACGGTCTCTGCTCCCGACTGACTCTTGGAGAGAAACAAACAAGACACCAAGTGCACCAAGTTAATCCTTTCCGCTTTCATAATCTCTTTGTGTAGTTAAGAAATATGAAAGATGACCCCAGGGAGCACTGCAGCAAAGGGTTTAATAGTCCATATGTCAGGAGAAATTAAGACACTGTGTGAAATATAAACAAAGGGAGTGGTGGAGTGAAAAAAATACTTCTAAATCATACTGGTGTGCAGCCCCTTTTTTTCTTATGATTTTACACGCTATCCTGGAATTTCTGATTAGATTGTTAAAGTGTGTTTTGGAGAAACAAATTTGATTCTCACAAATCATGTACCACTAAATCTCAAAATACAGGCAGTAATAAAGTAAAGTTTATCTTAGGATGTTTCAGAATTGAGATCCACCCAACTGGAGCATATTAGATTTCTCAAGAAGTGACACTGAACTATTAAATTCGCCCAGATGATGCATAAAATATAATTTCCAAATTTCCTACACAAGCAAAAAGTCCCTTTCTTATCTTTACAAAGAGATTGTGGCTGTTCCAAGCTAAGATGAGTTTCCTTGCAATTTTTTTCTACCTGGGAAATCGTAATTTTTTATTATTTTGTGTTTGTAACTTTCATTGTAAAACAGGATTTTAAAAACATTTAAAAAAAAAAGAAAAAACTAAAATGGAGCTGACAGTTTCACCTGGCCTTAGTATCTTATATTAGAGATTAGAGCACTGATTGTGGTTATCCCAGTGGGTATTACTAAAAACACAATTTCTGTGTTTGTTTCAAAGAAAAGAGAATCTTTAGAAGAAGCTATAAGCTCTCCAAAGGGCTGACAACATTTCCAACAAACATAACACAGGTTGAAAGCGAAAGCTAGCAAGTTTCTTGCTTTTCACTGTGAGGTTGTCCATCCCATTACCTGTATTTATAGTTTTTCTCTCTTATTTTTAAGCATCTCACAGATTCTAATAAGATATAACATCCTTTACGCTAAAGATTGTGGTGGTACAATGTGTTCCTTGATTCTTAATTTTCCAACATTTAACTGGTAATTAAATACAGCAGCTAGATATACAAGCTGTAAATTGATTTGCACCTCTAAGCTCCTCTTTAAGATTTTTCTGAGTCAACCAATGTGCTCTGAGCATTCTGCTGGAGACAAATGTGCACAATTTGGCAGCCGCTCTGAGAGAAAACACCTAACCACAAACAGGAGTCAGCAGACACAGCAAGGTCTGCAGTCCTGATCCATCTCTGTCTGGTTGATTAGCTGAGCTCAGCTCTGCAGCATCATTAGTGACCAGATGTTGACAACCATGCAGGCGAGGAAGGGAGGCATTTATCTCTGCCTCTGTTCTAGTGTCCGGTACGGAAACAGTCTTCTCCTTTCTTTAAACAGCACACAGAAGTTTTCAGTAAACATTGCTCAGCAAGATAAACATTTTTGGGTTAACCTTAAATTAGAAAGAAATTAAAATAACTTCTTCATAGAATTACACATTAAATTATTTTCCATTCCTTATAACAGTAAGATAACAAG